AACTGCATAACATGCAGCAGCGGGTTTGTATTTGCAGATGTTTAGGGCAGCTTCTATTGTGCGTGAATATGCGTTTACTGTAAATAACACGGGAATAGATGAATTTGCCGTGTGTTTGGCGCACGCGTAAACACTTGACACGCCCCTGTGTCAAAGCAAAAGTGTCTCACAGTTTGGACAGACCGTTGTCTTGACAAGCTTGGTGTAAATGTCTCTGCAGTATCTGTGTCATTCATATGTATACATACACACACACACACACACACACACATATATATATATATGGTGGGGGGCAGTCAAACGCTGGTATTGGTGGTATGTTCACATTTAAACCTTTTGATGATCACTTCGTCTACTGCAGCAAACACGAGGCTGATGTTAAGGACTGCAACCATGTGACCTTATCTGGGAGTGTGGGTCCAAAATGGATGCTGTTTCTTATAGATGGCATACAGTCTATATAGCTAATACAGGCAGGTGTTTATTGTCTGTCTTGTCTCTATCAGTGAACATTCATATTTGATATGCAGTGGTTTCAGACAAGCTTTATTTGGAGGAAATGAATAAAACTCACAGCAGACAAACACATGGAGCCAGCTACTCACAGTTTGCCGAACATAAGGATACTGCCGAGCATCCTGTTGTGAAATTTGAAAGCCTGGAGACTGGGCATGTGTGGGTTTTGGCAGAATGTTACCAGAGGAACATGGGGACAGGACCGAGAAGGGGAGGGAGGAGACAGGCTGTGCTGGCGTGATGCTGTGTCACTGCAGCTACGTTCTAATTGTATGTTCATCATTGTCAGAGTGGGATGCCTGCTTGTCACAGACTGTTGATGCTCAAATGGGATGATTATTGGTCAGTGTCAACAGCGGAGTACAGACTGTAAAGTATTGTTTTGTTTGTTTCATCCATACTGTTTAATTCACTCCACTTCAGAAAAAAAAATGTCAGAGGAATTATTAACCAGGCTGAGAAAACAGTGACTTGAATGGAAATTTATAATGTCTAATAAGATAAACTTGAAAAGTATGAGCAGGGTTAGGGCTTCAACAAAAAAAAGGAAGTGTAATAGTAAAAAGAGCGACGAGTAAGATTGAGGTGGTTTGGACATGTGTGCAGGAGGGATAGTGGATATACTGCACAAAGGATGTAGAATACAGAGCTGCCTGGCAGGAGGAAAAGAGGAAGATCTCAAAGGAGGATGGATGTAGTGGAAGAGGACCTGTTGCTGGTCAGTGTGACGCATAGGGTAAGATGGAGGCAGATGATCTGCTGTGGCGACCCTTGAAAGGAGAAGCAGAAACAAGATGATGGTAAAAAGCTGTGAGCTTTCAATGGGGATTGTATAAATCAAGTTGTATTGAGCAGATTTGTGGAAAATGTGGTAATGCAGCTTTTCCTGTGGCTCCTAATCAAAAACGGTATTAAAAAAAAAAAAAAAAAAAAGGATGCAACTTCCTGGTCTGAAATGAAGCCAGTATGGAAGTGGTCTAAATCCACTTCCATACTTTGTGTGGCCTTTCTAATGGCCAACACAGTGTGACTCCCATGTTTACGAAAGGGTCCATTTGTAGAGAATTGTTTGTGAAAACAGCCCTTTGCTTCCTTGCTCTATGACCTCTTTAAAGGCTTTCCTGTCAGTCACCATTTTATCAAATACAGAATTATGTTAATTTTATAAATTATGATTCTCATTAGAAAAACAGCAGTAGCTTGTAATAAAGCATTAGGCAATGAGTGTGCAGTGTCCTTTGGTTTCCCGGTCAGGGGACCAGCATGGTTGTGGTTTGGTCGTTTGCTGTGGCTGCATCTATCTCAACTCAGTCCTGAGGCTTTTCTAAATATATAAGCCTCTGCTTTGAGTGTTTCTCTTGTAAATGCCCCAACTTTATGTAAGTGCTATTTTAAATCTGTGGACTATCTCTGGGAGAAGCAGCACAGTACAGGAGGAAATCTGACAGAGTTTATTTCCTGTTACCTTTCTGCTTAGGTCAGTGAACTTGAATATTGACCTAATTTCTTCTAAGTGTGTTGGTCCTGTCTATAAATGACAGAACAAAAACACAACTTTGCAAAATAAGCATGTTGTTGTCTTTGCATACTGAATTAAAACTATAGTCGTCAAGCATTAAAGTGATCCAGCGAAGCCTACCACTGCTGGAGCTTTCTGAACTGCGTTATCACAACAGACTACACAGTCACTCACTGTGACAGGTACAAACGTCAGGCCAATAAAATGTGTACAAAAGTTAAGTTACTAAGGTCATGTGCATTTGCAAATAGGCTTTGTGCAAAAGCCTGAGAGACGAGTGGTTTAGTTTATAGTATTTGCAGGCATGAAAAAGTGACTTGCATTCTTGTATCTTTGATTGTTTTTTTCCACCGCTGTCTCCCCCAGGCAGGAAAGTTTGTCTAGTTCTAAGTGCAGATGTGTGTTTTTTTCGGGGTGGGGGGGTTGGTTTTTTTTTTTTTATAGGTTCAGTAAACAGTTGATTTACAGTAATGTCTCTCTGGGTAAAGGGAGTCTAAATCATGTGTGTTCAAACACAGACAGTGGTTACGCCCTTTATAGGAGACATGACAGCCAACTTCACTAGCAGCAAACTTTGGTTACCGACAGCAGAAGCTTACGTAACCGTTGAAGGAGCATGTTTCCCTGTCAGTCGTGCTGGCTAAATTTCCACAGTGCTGCATGTCAGAGAAGCTCAAATGACTGGCCTGTGTGTTATAAGGGGATGGGGTGGGGTTCAGTGGCGGTGTGGATGACTTTCCTCTGCCCCCCACCCCCACCCAAAAACAAAAAACCCACATTCCTGCAAGAAAGGTCGACCACTGGGATCTTTGCTTGTACAGTAGGCTATTCCCGGGTTTATTTTTGGTGCTTCAGATTTTAATATGTGAACACTAATTTCAGCAATTCATTACTGGATTATATACAATTTTAAGACATGCTGCTGAGCTCACTTGACTGATGTCAGTGGACAGAAAGTGAGTCTGTTATAAACAGTGCAGTTTGTGTTTGCTGCTTGATTGGATCTTCTAAGTATCTACATATCCTTCCCTCTATCACATAACCCTTATCTGAAAGAAAACAAAGATATGAAGTTAAACTGCCGGTGGTAATTCAACATAATTAAAGAATTACATGTGCTGGTAGCAGCTGCTATGCTGTTAAAATCTGAATTTTATCATGCTACTGTTGCATACCCAGTGTATGAGACTTTCATGTGTTGTAACAGTTTTGAAGCCACGATTCAAACTGCAATATAGACCATATTTCCCCCATGGAGATCTTATTGCCTACTTAAAATAGGATAGTCTGGTAAAAGCTATAATGTTATATTGTTAAGGAAATGGAGGACCAGAAATGCATCCAAATAATGGAATTTATTTTCTTCATGGTCATCTGATAAAGCTTGTTATTCGTTTTTCATGCAAAACGCAGAGGTATGAAGCGAGCTGTAGATTTGGAGAATGGCTATTTTCCTAGTCGTGTAATCTGTGTCTTTGTGCTTGTTGGTATAGACAGATAATGTCTGAACTGCTGTGAAAAATGTTCCTTGGAGTCTTGGAGTTGGATAATGTGGTTTACGACATTATCTGCAGATGCTCTTTCTGACATGGTGCATGCAGTGATAGTATTAGACATGATGTTGGCAGAGTGTGTCAGGAAACGGGGCCGCTTGCTCACTATGATCTTACCAGACTTTTACCTGGACATTCCTCACAACATCACAGTCTGAAATCAAATAGATCTTATACTGGAGAGATTTTGCCCTCTCACTCACACCTTTGTCTGGGGATGTGCTGAAAAGTTGAGGGCTGCTGCACATGTGTGAAAACGGCTTCAGTGTGATGCAAAATGACTGGAGTAGGTAGCTTTTTAGTCTTAGGCTCTCTTTTAGCCCTGAGATTGTTTACTTAGCATTTGGTTCAAGCCAGCCCAGCTAAGCCTAACAGTCTTTCTATGGATGAGCCTGTGAACTGCCACCTATCTCCCTCCTGCATTCTTTCCTCACTTATATTGCTGCCTTCCTTAAAGCTCTGTAGCTCCACTATGGTGTGAATAGTTCAATCAATGTCAGGGATTTCACCTGCCTGTATAGAAATCCTCTTTGTTGAAATTGATTAGATTTTTGTCCCCTTGCATTTATGTATTGTTATAGTCATAGAAACAGTGGTGATAAATAAAATTTGAATTTGAATTTGGATAACAACTATTTCTGTAGCATGATTTCCTCTTTGAAAAAAAAACAAACATCCGGAATCATCATGACTCAGGCTTTTTATTCTGCTGCCTCAGAGTGTGAGTACTTCTGTATGTGTATCAGTAAAAAGAGCGTGTGTGTGTGTCAGCGACAGTGATAGCGATAATGTAGTGTTTGGGCTATGAATACCAGATGCGTTTATTATTAGTGAAGACTATAAGCTAGGGAGAAATCTTACTATGTATCTTACTATGTATGACATACGGAGATGACCATTTAGTCAGCAGGGTGACTGTTTTGTTTGAGTGTATCATCATGTGGTGATCAGACTAAATGGAGAGCACATTTCAGAGACTGAGCAGTTGGAACAATAGACAATGGCAATCTGTTGTTGTACACAGAATTGTTCTGGTAGGTGTGAGCTGATTCATGCTCCCTGAATTTTAAAACAGTTCAACTTTGGTTAGCAGTATTGATCTAATACAGTAGATAGGTGTCAGTGCTGATAGTGATAGTGGCGTCACTAAATGACCACTGTACAAATCTGCAAAAGTGTTTCTTTGTCATTAATATAAACTTATTCATTTGAAGAGTTTCTCCACTTATTTAGGATGCACCCAATCAATAATCCCCCCCCCCTTTGTTTTTCCTTCACAAATATTCTGCTGCTTTATCAGTATTGGGGATTCAGACAACTCACAAATACGTTTTGGGTTTTGTTTTTTGTTTTTTTTGGTCCACAAAACAAACCTCACAGCTGGAAGCCCAATAGGGCTGTTGGGAGTCCATAGCGACAGGTTAGACGACTGCCGCTGGGGGGCGGGGGTGGGAAATTAGCATATTTTAACAGGGAACAGCACACGCCATTGGTTGAATTCTTCATGCTTACTACGTAAAGACTGCTGTTGTTGATAGCAGACAGTCTGGCAGTTTATTTCTCACTCCTAGCATGTTATCTTAAACATATGCAGTGTCTAAGGTACTTACTACACGGATGTCCGCGGAACTGTTCAAGGTAAAACTGTAGTGGGTCATTGCATTTACCTGTGTTTTTAATTGTTGTAACTGTCAAGCTTATCATTATATGCGTATTTAATGCTAATACTAAAGAGGAGCTAGCTAAAACGATATATTAGCGTACTTAGCGGTTGTTCAGTGGGGTTAATTTATCTTGCAACACAATGAGGTATAACACTTCAGGTTTAATGTAAACGAGTGCTCAAATTCAATTTATTGGCTATTGTTTTTCAATTATTATTTTTAATTTTACAGTCAAGTTTTACATAGCACTATGATTGAAATGTAACATGTTTCAAGTCAGAAAGCTATTGAACTATTTTCACATTCAGAAAACGTGTGCTATTAAACAGAAAGTGCATGGAGGACAATGTTAGCTGGCTAGCTTTTAAAGTTAAAAACGGCTTCAGTGCTTTGTTAGCTTTATGTTTCTTTGTCTTTATCTTTGAGTATATCAGCCTTTGTACTTAAACCAAAACAAGAGATGTTTCATTGCAAATGTGCTGGTGGTGATAAATACTTTATAATTCAGTGTGGAATTGGATATTGTAGACTTTATATATTTTTCCAGCCTGTTTGTAATGCAGCTGTTTAAAAAGTAGTGGCTGTAAAGTTTAAAATGTGATTCAAGCTGATCATTGTAAACAAGGTTTTTCTTTCTCTTTGACTTTTAGGGGAAAAAAATACCCAGCGTAACGACACTTGGACCTTAAAGGATTTATAAATGTAAGTCTAGTGAAGGCTCTCACTTTTTTATGTAAGACTTCAGGTAAACTGCAACTGCTATCCACTTTAATACACTATGTAATCCACAGTGTTACCATTGTGACCTTTGAAATGGCAGGTAATATAATTACCAAAGACCAGTTTGACCCTTTGGTCATTTCTTTTTTCAGACTTGTACACAGGTCCACATCTGCCTCCCCATGCAGAGCTCCATGAAATGAATAAAGCACCACAGCCTATAACGGGACCCCCATCCACTCCCCACCCTGCCCCTTCCCCCGGCCTTTCACAGGTAAGATGCCACGCTACTTAACTCTGCATATTGGCTCTACAAGGGTGTGGTTTTCTTTCTCACTGTGTATTCTCAAAGAGACAGGGCAGTCGTTCAAGTGCTTTGTGAAGATAATGAAAAGTAGATCACTCAACAATAGAGGTTCTCTGATAGAGGACAGCTGCAGCAGACGCAAGTCTTGTGTTTTTTGACAATACTGTGGAAAGTCCCACAGCAGTTGATGTCCTCCATAGTAATTAACTGGAACGATGTCTATGACTGTCTTTTTCAGATCATGCTAACCTCTAACATGGCTTAAACTTGAATATTATAAATGGGCTCCAGTTGGAGTCGAGCCACAGATTCATAAACACACTATGAGCTTATTATTATTATCTTGCCATCATATTGTCAGGGGCCAGAATAGCCTGCGGCATCTTTGTAACTATCCAGCTAAACACTGTTATTTTTAATTGTGATTTTATTTATTTTGGTGTTTGTGTGTTTTTTACTTTGTCTCAAAAATAGCTATAAAGTACTTACTTGCCAGTTGTCTACACCCCATAAACATAAATCGGAAAAGATGTCTGTAATATAAACAGTAAAGCCTTTACACGGTTGTGGGACTCTACGGCCTCACCTTTTTGGCTCTTTTGCTGTTGTTCTCACTTCCTGTCTTCTGCAGGCCTCATTCCCCCCTGGGCAGCCCCCGTCTGTAGTGTTTGCCACCCAACCTCCACAAATGAACCCAACACCACAACCCCGACAGGTAGGCCTGCTCACTCCTCAGAAACGACTGTTCTATCAGGGAACATATTATCTAGTCAGAAGCATGACAATTTACAAATTGGATTCATTGCTTTCCACACAAGTTCATTTTTGTGGTGCAATGCAAATATTTTTGTTTATTTCTAACTTGCATCTGATCAGTCCAGACAAACCACGCAGGGTAAAAATGCTATTGTGCAGTTTTGCAAAACTTCTACTCACTGGCACTATCCTAAACGTATAGGGTTCTTAGAATTAGGGCTGAACGATTATGGAAAATAATCTAATTGCAATTTTTTGCCCCAATATTGCGATTGCGATGCGATATGCGATTATTTTTTAAGGTCTTTGTCTTCTGTATTATTAAACAAAGACAAGCAATACATCATATAGTATGGCCAATACTATATTACATTAATTTTAAACTGTTCTTTCCTGGAAGACAGACCTCTGTTATGATGACATGAGGTGATGCATGAATTGATGACTGACATTTTTATTTAACTTCTTCAATCACAACAGTATATTTGAACATACACAATAGTTTATTTTTAGCTTACAAACATCTGAGCATAAAGTGCTGACAAGGAACCCTGGTGTAAACATTAAAATGAAAGTCAGTACAATGTGCAGATTGCAGAAATATACATAAACAAAATCAGTGGCTTTACCACACTCAGTTTTTCGACATCTGTGAACTACTAGACAGTCATTCAATTAAAAAATAATATTAAATAAATAAAACTAATAAATAAAAAATACACACATCTTACTGATCTCTGCAGTCAGTAACATTACACATAAAGTGCAAACATAATAGCAATTGTATAAACACACACACAAACACGCCTTTAAAATTTAAAGGCGTGAAATTGGACGGTCTAGTTCTGATTAGCGTCACCGCTGTCTCGGTGGAGTTTAATAAACTCGGCCGTCTGCTTCTTGCTATCTAAAATATAACCAGACACTGGTGTAAATTCTCGACTGTCTCATACTTCTGTTTAATAAGTTTTCTGTTTGACGTTTAGTCAGCTGTGTGAAAACCAAGGAGGAACCCACCCGGGGGATTAATAAAGTTTTATTTTATCTAATCTAATAACTTTAATCTCAGCCAAACCGATTTACTCACAAACAAACAAAACACTGAAAAAAGCCCAACAATAACATTTTTAGGTTGTCTAAGTGACTTATATATTACGTTTAACCCGAGCAGCGAAACTCCGCGGTGATCTGAAAATGATGTGCCGGGAGTTGTGCCGTTCTCGGCCGCATCAGTAACCCTCGAGCTCCCGGCTAGCTGTCGAGCTGGTGGGTAGCAGACGCCTCTGAAAACGTCGAAGCACTTTTGCAAATATGGGATATCTTGATAAACCGAGCAGATATTTGATGTTTACACAACTACTTTCTCGCCTGAAAATATGTTAAAAGTTTATTTTGTGACCCAGAAAGATTAGTATGAGTAATTTTAAAACTTAGTAGCGGCCGCCATTGTTGGAAACTGGAGTTTGGCTGGGCCGCGCTATGAATTCTGGGATATGGTAGTAATTTGGACAGCCTTCGGCGCGTCGCTGTGACGTAATCGGTCTACAAATGCGGCCTCAGGAGGATGCAGCCCATGAATTTGGACATGTCCAGAGTATAATCGCAGCCTTTGCGGTTAGAAAATTGCACTTGATCATGTCGCGATATTATCGCAAATGCGATATATCGTTCAGCCCTACTTAGAATGCCTGCATGTCTGTTTGCAAACTTTCCTCCAGCTCTGTGAAATGTAAACAGTCACTGTGGTCTTCATTACATGTCTTATGAAGTATTGGAGCTTAATCTACATGATCTAAATTCTTTTGTTTCTTACTGCCCCTGATTGATTTGAGTAAATGCAATCAGCTTAAAGGCAGCTTGATTTATACATTAATATCAGATCTATAATATTTTGTATGTAGCCTTGTAAAAAAAATTAAATAATTAAAAAAATATATAGGGCAAGCTAAGAAAAGCACATGCTATGACAGCCATTTTCATATGATGAGCGCCAGTTGGAAACGTACAGAACTGAAATAACCTGTTAGTGGGGAGTGAAGCATGGAGTTTGAGCTTTTGTCTATAATCTCTGTCCTGTCTGCCTCTCCTCCTCTAGTTTGCCCCCGGGCCCCGGCCTATACATCAACAGGTACTAACAGCACAGCTGACTAACTTGAGGGTGGGAGGGGAATTTCACCCATTTTAATGCATGTGAGAAGGCCAAGATTTCAGGAATAAAATGACCACAAACTGGTGGTTCCTGATTCAGAGACTACATGATAATATTTTTAACATTTTATGTTTATTTTACGTTTATGTAATTAACATTGCCCAATAATGCAAAATTAACTTGATGATAACTGAAGTTAATGTTTTAAGTAAATATTGAATTTACTGTGACAAAAGTTAAATTGCATTTGGGTTATGCTTTATAATAAAATGCATAAATGTTGCACCAACATTTCAGAAATGCAGCTAGGCCTGATTCACTGGGATTCACTGTTGTGCCTTTTATCTGCATGCTGCTTGTTAATTCACTGCTTAGCTAAGATCGGGTGGTTTCTGGGCGCTTTCCTCTAACTGATTTTCGTGCCTTCTTTTTCTCACTCTTTCTCTTGCCACCTTCTTCTTGCTTCTATTGAATGTGTGTCTATGTGTGATCTGTGCTTGTGCTGCTGAAGGGAAGCTTCAGATCGCTACAGGTAACTCAGGTTTTCTCTTTCCTCACAGTTTTTCCCTCCACTTTTCCCTTCTTTCACCCTCTGGAGGAGTGCATATGTGTGAGCCTAATATTTGGCAGTGTTGTGCTTTGTTGGCTTGGTGTCATTTTTCTGGCTACAGCAGTTAGCTCCCAGGCCATCAGCAGAATGTCAATGAGGAGGCTCTGAATGAACCAGCATTAGCTGCTTTATCTCTGCTGGCAGACAGGGCCAATATGTTTCCAGTTGGAGTCGAGCCACAGATTCATAAACACACTGTGAGCTTATTATTAGGCTGAACAAGCTAGTTTTCCTGGGTCCAAGAGATAAAATAATGCAAAGGGCATTTATTCATGTCAGAGGTTTCAGAGAGGTAGCAAATGGTCCTGTTTTGTTTTTCTTTCTTCTCTGTGGTCCATCACACCATATTTCTTCTTGTCTTTTTCACAACCCACACTTGCTTCACCTTTGCTTTTCTACTATCTTCTTAGCCCTACTACCCCAACAGGCCCAACCTGCCTCCCAGCAGTGGGCCAAGAGGTGTCCCACCCAGCAGTGCTCCTCGGTCTGTGACCCCCACCCATGTCTACCAGGCAGGCCCTGGCTCCCAAATGATGATGATCCCCCAGCAACAGTTGCCCTTTCCCAGTTCGCCACAGGGACCTGCCTACATCATACAGTCACAGGTAGGGGGCACAACTTGTGTGTGTGTGTGTGTGTTTATTATTTTTTTGTTTGTGTTTCTGCTAGAGGTTTTCTTTGTATTGTATTGTAGGGTCTATATCTTACAATATAAAGCTCATTGAGGCAACTGTTGTGATTTGGTGGTGCTATAAAATAAGATTGAATTAAATTGAAAATATAGGTTTGTTAGCTCTATTAAAAATGCATTAATTTTTTTATTAGATACATTTTGTAAACCCTGCATCCACAAAATCAGGCTTAGTGACTCAAACTGCTCAAAGTGGTTAATGGTGCAGAGGCATTTGTAATTTTGTTGCAGAAATTACCAGGATTTCTACTTTGATTACTCAGAAAATGTGGTCTGGTCTTCTTATCCAAATGTGTGAAAATGTGCTGGTGTCTGGAGATACCCATTTGCAGCTACTTGGGTTGTAGAGGTGCTTCTCATTTATAAATAAAGACAGTTTGGTTTCTGTCTGTTTGCACATCTTAAGGACAAAAAAAGTCATTATTCAATTATATTCAGACACAAGAACACTTCTGAGGCGAACTGTCTCCTGCCGTACTACATTTCAAAGATGGCAGCCTTGTATAATGCACTAACCTCTTTTGAGTACCAATATGTCAAAGTCCTGAGAAAAGCACCTGAGTGTATTGATTTCACCTTATTTCATAGCCAGTATGTATGTAGTATTTTCTCCTCAACATACCACCAGAGTTTTGAAGCTGTGTGTCACATAGTTTAATCCAGCCACATAGTAACACACATACTTCCAAAATGCGAACGGTGTCCCATTTCACAAAAATAGAAAGCAAGTGCACAAATGCAAAAAATAGAAAGAAAAAGGAACAGGAAAATGTAGCAACATTACAGCGGTAATGGATTGCTTATTTGGAGAAGTAACAAAAAAGCAGATTACTTTTTTCATTACATTAGTTTTGCAATTCAGATCCCTCCCAACTGTAAAGCATCATGGAGGGATCCTTATGGTTTGAGGCTGCTTGTAGTCACTGAGGGAACAACAAACCAAAGACTGAAGGCAGAATTCTTTATAGTTTTTATAATATTCAAGTTTTAGCCCATGTTAGAGGTTGGCACGAAATCCTTGTAATTCCAAAGTGTTCACATTTTTTTTGCTTCTACAACTTTAATGATCTATATCTGTATCTAATGATGTTTTGTTTTGTTTTTCTCCATTTATCTTCTCTTCTATCTTCCACCCGCTCTCTGGTTTGCCCCCTCAGTACCGGTCACCAACCTACGTTCCCACACCTCAGCAGTTTCCAGTCCCAACGGGCACCCCAGGCTATTACCCAGGCACAAGCCCTGCAGAATATGGTACTTACGGTAAGAGGTTTTACCTGGAGTCTCATCTGTGCCACTCACCTAGTAACAAGCACCATTCTTACACTTGGCAAACTAAATCAGTTGGAGAGAAAAACAATTATGAAGATCGATGGTACACTTTGTAATGAAACGCAAGGACAAGTTGCAACAAAATTTAAATAGGAAGGGTGAGAGGAGAGGAAAATGTTAAGTGAAAAAAACACCACCCAAAATAATAAATTTCATTTATACGTGCCTTTCAACATACTCAAGGAGCCCTTAGAAGCAATTAAACAAAAGTATATCTTAAGTATAGATAAAATAACGGTAGGAAAACACCATATAGTAAAAAGTCAATACGTCTTAAACTAAAATCAAACGGAATAGAGAAGCTTCAAAAGATGTGTTTAAAGACTGACTTTAAAGATGGTAAGACTGTCAGAGTAGTGACTGTGCCGTGGGCAAGACTTCGAAAGACGCGGGGCTACTTGGCTGAAACAAACAGCTGTTATAGTAAGAGCAGCATAGGAGGAGCATCTCAGTATGGGAAGGAGTGGCAATGTGAAGAAGTTGGAGAGAGATGGGAGTGCAAGATTATCAAGAGACTTGAAAGTAAGAAGCAGAATCTTAAAAATTAATGCAACATTTTACAGGAAGCCAGTGAGCTGTGTAACATGTCATTAAATCCTCAGTAGTTGCTCACATCTTGCACAGTGATCAGCCTTTAGCTGAAGTCTTCGTTTTGTTTTTTTTTTGAGGAATCCTGACTTGTTACTCTTTCAGTGTTTGTCTTCATGTAAGTGTTTACAAGAAAAATAACCGTCTTCCCTTAATAAACTACACGCTTCTGAGATTTCTAATAATTACATTCATCTTGTCCCCTGCCACCCACTCATTATTTATGCATCTCTTTGTGCGAGACACTTCTGGCTAACATGAAATGAGAATGAACAGGAGTGGAGTATAAGGTGTTATAAAAAGCAGTGACAATTTTACAGACCGTGGGAGAGAGAATAATCAGGAAAGATGACCTTCTCTCAGCCAGCATGGACCATATGACCTTAATGAATAGCAGTTACAACTCGCACTGTGTTCCTATTGATGGGTGTGGCTGCATTCCCCAAAAAGTTTAAAGTTGCTGACTATTCGTGTCAAAGTGGTTATGTACAAATGGGCCCACAACAGCATCCTTAGAAATCTGCACTTAGCAATAGAGGTAAAATTTATGTATATCACAGTATAAAAGCCTTCAATGATTATATTTAATACACACAAAAGTGTCTTCATTTTACATTTACTCATAGTCCTTTTGTTCCACATCAACTGAGTATAGCTGCAACGGACACATTTATTGCTGATCATACGTGCTGTGCCTCCATCTAGTGGTAACTGTGTGTCATTGGACCATAAAACCTAGTGATGCCCTGAAACAAACTTGCTGACCTCCTCCTACCAGGCATTTGAACTATGTGTTGTCTTTGTTGAACTGAATGCAGAGGCCTCAATGCAGACCTGTAAAAACACAATCCTTCCTATGAGACTGCTCATAGGAAGGATTCCACTATTTGCTCTTGAATGTGGAGTATGTGTATGTTGGGTTGTGCATGGGACAGTTAAACTGTATAGGGCTGAAGGTCTGGTGGACTTGTGCATTAATTTATGGGAAATTCACATGTTTGGCATATATAAATTTATATTTTCAGATATTTTGCAGTTCCTTTCTGAACAGCAGTCTGTGTGCGTTTGACTGAAGGCATATTTATACCCACCACTGTAACCCTCACAAAACAAACAAACACACTCTGAAAATGGTGTTACAAATGCTATTGCGAGCTGCTCTTTGGTGTCATTTTGGCCAGTCGTGGACCTGTTCACTTTTGTAGCCTGGCACACTGTGTTGGAATGTATAATCATATTGTTTTTTCCCACTGATATCATAACAAGGGCTCAGATCATTCCAAATTACACAGAAGAAGATGTTGTAAAGGCATGAAAAGCAGAGACTTTCTGGAGAAACTTTTGGTAACACACACTCTGCAAGTGTGGCGCACCCTTGGCATTAGGGATGGGTATCGAAACCCGGTTCTTGTTGAGAACCTGTTCCCACTGTTTCAATTCCTTGGAATTGTTTGGCATTTTTGCAAACGATTCCCTTATTGATTCCAGTCGCCCCGAATGACGTCACCACGTTGCGGAGCGTCATTTACCTGGCAGGAAACACGGCGCCTAAGCGGCTCAAACGCTCAAAAGTTTGGTCATACTTTACGAGAACAGATGACAACAGGGCAACTTGCAATACTTGCAAAGTAGATATTTCATTTAAGGGAGGAAACACTACGAATATGCAAAAGCATTTGCTCACAAAACACGTGATAACCTTAAATGAATGTCGTGTTTTTTAATTCCGCTCCGGACTCGTGAATCTCAACCCAGCAGCAGCGGTAACGTTTGCACGTCCTCTCCCGTTAATATGGCAGGTAAATAATCAACTAATAGTGCATATTATGGTAGCGCGATCTGCCTTATTACAAAACCTGCCATTACTGTGCATTTAGGTGACCATGATGAGAGAGACATCGTTAAACAGAATCGAAAATGGAATCAGAATCGTGAAAATCTTATCAATACCCATCCCTACTTGGCATCACTATAAATTATGGCGGGACAGTGGTCTTGTCACATTTGGTGTGTGATACAACCAGTACGGTGACCATAAACAGGCCATTACATTCATGTCTTTGCTTATAAGAGAAGTCAGTGTGGAAAATGTGCCAGTGTTATTTATTCTGTGTGAGTTTTGCTACTGTTAACATGCATTTTCAGGATAAGATCTTTTTAGTATGAGTGGCCTTAAATGGTTAGATTTGTTTTATGGACAGTTTGTACACATTGGCCTAACAAGCAAACAATCCCTTGATCGGTTCTGGTAGTAGGCACACATACCTTTGGGGTTTTGTCCCCCTTTTGATTAAAGGAGCAATCCAAAGTAACTTTACTGGTCATGAGAAAAATTTAATCAGGAGAATACACTAATCTCAAACTTCAGATTACAGACAAGAGAATGAATTCTAGTGTCCGTTCAGGATTTGACATGTCGATGTAGTCTTGAATGATATCAGCAAGTTCAAACATATTCTTATAGTTTAACTGTATTCCTACACCTCCCTGTGTCAGTGGTAGCACAGGGTGGTGTAGCAGGTTTTTGTATTGCCTGACAACAAGAAAACGGAGTCAAAACCTCCTGGCCGACCAGAGGCTTTCTGTGTGAGGCTTCCATGTTCTCCAAGATTTCAAGATTCTTTATTTGTCGCGTGCATGGTTATACAGGTATAACATGCAGTGAAATGTGACCTGATACGCTCCTCAACTGTGCAAAAAAAAAAAAAGACAGACAGACCTTTATATACAGTGAATGAGTATATACAAGGTTTACACATGGGTTTTCTTCAGGTTCTCTGGCTTCCTCTTGGCTATTTAGGAATTCTGAAGATACTATAGGTGGGGATGTTAACATGTTAGCATAATTGTGTTTTGTGTTTGCCCTGTGGACTTGTAACCTCTTCAGAACCTCCCTAATCACACACATCAAAGGCCTATACCAGCGGTCCCCAACCCCCGGTACCAAATGACCGGTCCGTGAGTCATTTGGTACCAGGCCGCGAGAGTTGAGGCTCAGGTGTGAAATGTATGGTTTTCAGGGTTTTTATCGGTTTTCAGCGTTATTTTGTTATCGTTTTTATCGTTAACTCTGTTTTCCTGGGTCTTTTCACGTGTGTTATGAATAAATCTTATTTTTTTCGGTACCGGTACTAGTTTTATTTTGTTGTATTTATCCGCGACACCTTAAAGGCCGGTCCGTGAAAATATTGTTGGGCACAAACCGGTCCGTGGTGCAAAAAAGGTTGGAGACCGCTGGCATATACAGCTTCTATAGCAGCTCTTCTATAGGAGTTTGAACAGGATCATTTTTGTCTGCCCAAACAGTCTGACAATGCTTTACTAGATTGTAAACTTCTGTGGAGTTTTAGTGATGAGTGAATCTTTACAATACTTAAATGTGTGGTCTGAATACTGAACCCTCCCACGTCTTGTACAAACCCAGATAGTTTGACCCTAACAGAAACACTTCCCATTCTGTACTGTTGACTGAGATGGCACATAAAAGTGCATTTAAGTGTCAGTCTGCACCACAGCAGGGCTACAGCTCATAGGAATGAGCTGTGTGGCTGTTGAGCCTGCTGATTTCATGTTTATTATGAATTCAGCAGGCATAATTATTTATTATGAATAAATAATCTCCTGCGTGTCTGTTGCATCAGTCATTCTGACAGTCCCTTGGCATGTCGTGAAATCAGATGGCACATGACATAAAATAACTGTCTAGTGACTGTAAGACATGGCTCTTTAAACCTGGTTGCTGAGGACCTTGACTTCACTGCTGCTTGCTTCATGAAGATGTCTTGAGCCAAGAAATGGATTCATGTGTGGAAGTAATGCTTTTTTTTTTTTTTTTTTTTTTTTTTTTTTTTAAATAATTTTTGCCCTCTTAAGCTCTATGCTCATCATAGTTATAATCCCAGAATATCATTTTGCCTCCTTGCAGCCATCTATGTGGTGGAGTGTTTCTTAAAACACACATACCGGTACATAGAAACAGCCCTACACACACACACACACACACACACCAAATCCGTTTGACTCTTATGTGTTAACCAAAGATCAGCTAACATGCCTGTGGTGGAGAGATAGAGGAGTCTTCAGGGAAGTCAGAGCCACTTGGAATGGCACAGTTTAGTTTGTCTGCCACTATACTCAAGAGGAGGGAGGGAGGTGGGGAGGAATCAGCAAGGTCAGAGGGAGGAGCAAAATGGAGACACGCTGGAAGAGGGAGGGCTGAGGACTAAAAGAAGTCATTCTGAGAGGGCACCTGTAGAGAGGACAGGGAAGAAAGTTAGAGAGGGGGTTTAAAGAGAAAACCCCCTCTAAATTGTATTTCTGTACAGTCTTTACATTCTGCAGCAGTTCAACATGGGCAACCTTGGTTCTCGAGAGCAGAAGGACTCTGAGGGTAGGTGTTGTCTAGACGGTGTCTCTTTGCAGCCCCCCATCCCCCTCTTATGGCAAACTTTTGTGCTTTGAGTCATATCTCAGGTTTCTTATTTACAGTATTGGGATACTGTCCAAGTCTCATTCCGCCTTCTGGCTTTCTGCTTTTATGAACCTTCTCCCTCTCTGTCCTTCTCTCGCTCACTTTCTTCCCTCCCTTTCCATGTCGCACGCAGTCTTCCCCCAGCCGGTGTGGGTTTTTGACTATATTTAGGCTGTGCTGCTTCTGGGCAACAATGCAGACTCAGTAATGTGAGTTAGACTGTAATGCATGCAGCAGGGGAGAGAAGCAGAGCAGGAGCTAGCTACTCCCAACCTGAATAAGAGGCCTCTTCAGTTTAGAGTTTGGGGGGGGGGGTTTCTTCTTGTTTTTTTTAGTCTAAGTCTTGTAAAAGTGGGCTACACCTGATTTTGAACTGTAGCTGAGGCCAGTTACACGGCCAGGTAATGTCACTGAGTGGTTTTGTCTTGTTGACATTATTGACCAGGTATGCGAAAAGCGTTTGCTTGCTCTTTAGGAGGGTGTCACATTGGCAGCAGCTTTCTTGGCAAGTTTGTGAATGTGATAAGTATTTAATTCCTTATGAGATCACCAATGCAGAGCTGACACAGCAGACTGCTGTGTCATGGTCTGAAAATCTACTTGGCGTTCTTCTTGGTACCATGTTTGCTTAACTGTTGCATTTGGTGAAATGCTGATTTTAGGCAGTTGTTTCTATTCCAGCAAATTTCTACTGAAAGAACTTAATTGAATTATTTATTCCCAGGAAAATAAGTAATTAAAATCACCTGATACTTGACGATAATAAAGTCATAAAATAAGGAGCTGCAAGAGTTTAAGACATCTGCCCTTTTTTAAGTGCTGAAATATAATATTTCACCCTAATATTACATTACATGAATAAGTCATTTATCATGTTTTTGAGTTGTTAGAATTTTTAATTTTCCTTAATTCGTTTTATACAAAATCATTTTTCTGCTATTGGGGAAAATGGATTTGTTGAAAATTAGTTGAAAACTGTAATTGTTGTTATGGCATCCTTGCAAAAAATAGGTGTAATTTTGGTCATTTTCCATTACGATCGACTACCACCTAATGTGCATGGCGTTGCTATACCAGTGTAGCTTGTGACATCATTTGTATGCTACACGGATACCACACCAATGGAGACACCGAGGCGATGGTGTTCCTGCTGCTTGGTGTATGTCTTTTTTTGACAGACTCTCAGACCACAGTGGTTTTTTTGTGTAGCCGTTTCCATCATTGCTGGGTTTGAAAAATGATGGTTTTGATTTTTGTGAAGGAGACGTTCTCATCACACATCGTGTGACACCACTAACTAGCTAATCAGTGGCATGCAGTCTGACATCACATTTTTTAGATCACGTCAGATCACTTAGAACCCCGGCCGAGTAGGTACTAAAAAAAGTACCTGGTACCAGGTACTACCACCTAATTGGTGTTTCAGAAATCCCCAAAAAAGTCAAGGCAAGGCGAGCAAGGAGGTACTAGGGGAAAAGGGCTACAAGTTCAGTTAAATTGGTCAACACAATCAGCCTGAGGAAGCTTTAAAACATTCATGTTTAAACATTCATAGTTAAACTGAAGTGAGCAAACTCACTCTTGACACTAATTGAAATGAATCTGAAATGAAAGCAAAAATTAAAACTCTCTTAAAATATACAAAAAAGTATCTGGTAACCAGAAGCAAGGTATTTATTTAAGTGGTATGTGTTTTAAGTTGATGTGTTTGTTAAGTCAATATGACTTGGTTTACATTCTTCTGTCTGTGATTCACAGCAGGGGCCTACTACCCTGCACAGCCACAGTTCACCCCCTCGGTCCAGGCAGGACCTGTGATTATGAATCCTGCACCTCAACAACCACAGCCACCCCCTCAGCCTGCCCAGCACATCCCTACCAAACGGGAACGCAAACAGGTACAGTCAGCATTCCTAATTCAAAAATGTGCCACACTTCAAACTCTCTGTGCTGCTTTGAGATGCATGTGATACAGGATATGTGTTTTACCTGCTTATGACTTGTGTGTATCCTCAATTACATTTGCTTTTATGCAAAATCACCACGTCTCTCTAGACAGACTTAACATAATCTTAAATAACCATATGTTATTAGCAAAAAACAATCCTTGGAAGTTATCAAAGAGGAGACACTATATAAAAAAGTGAACACAGCACTCAAACAATCCTAACAAGAAAATTATGAATGATTTCTGAAATGCTGAAGAGGGAGGTGGTCACACCCTGACGATCTTGTTGCAGCTGGTAACATGTTCACAGTATAGACATTCATGACCGTCTGATTTATGTTATCATCATACTAAAAACTACATATTACTTTAAAAAAAAACAGCCACAACTTTATAGCTGTGCAGTATAATGATTTAGGTTTTGCATATGACATCCAACAAATTTTTTTGGGTATCACATATAAAAATAGATATTAACTGTAGATATTATGCTCAGTTACGGACACGGACGAGTGTCTGCGCAGTCAAAAAAACAAGCAGGTACTTAGACGTCTACTCAGACCCTCACACATGCGATGATATCATTTAAATCACTGGGACCCGAACAGACCTATGTATAATCCCTGCTTTAAAGACATGGGAACTTAACCATGTGCTAAAGTTATTGAAAGCTTCATATTCATCATTACCAATGAAGGTCCTTGATAATGAAGGTGGTGTCTTGCAACTGGATTTGAGATGAGTAAAAAATGTTGTTGCCCTTTTGATTTCATGATATTATATTATTATATTAGAAGTATTGGTCAGCTAAAGTGTATTATTGCAGCTTTTGTACGATTTATAGATGGATAATTTATGGTCACTGGAGACATATTGTAGCATTATGAGCAAGTATGTGTGTCATTGTAATCCAGTTTCAACACAATGCAATGGGATACAGAAACATCCTTGTTGTTTCTTATGATTAAGGCTTGAATTGGGACACTGAATTCAATTTACTGATTGAAAAAGATATTAATAAACTTGTCTTCAACTTCTTATTTTGCATAGCTGAGCTGCTGTACAGTGTATTCCCTGATTTAACAGAATGTCTAGTGTTCCCCCTGTGCTCTAATATGGCCCTCGCCTGGTATGTGGTAGGTCTCTGTGAACTCAAGCCCCTCTAGTGTCACCATCCTTTTACATCTGAGACATCTGCAGTAATGCTTACATATGACTGAACAGTGTAACCTGCTGCTTTTCTCAGTCTGAAAAGTGAGTGATCCACTGTACGTGATCTATGAGACACACAAAATGTGAAGCTCTGGTTGCAAGATGATAAATGTCATTGGTGATATCACACAAAATATCTGCTTGTAATTACATTACATTGTGCTTTGGCTGTTAATATAAAGAGGTGGGGTTTGTGTGTGTGCGCATGTGCACACTACAAGACTTGCATTCCTTGAGTTTCGGGAGTGATGTGCTTTAAAGGAGCACCAAGAGATTTGGTGTCTTGTACAGGGCACATTGACAGAAATTAGGTTCTACTGTGAATGGATAAAGGCAGCTTCACACAGAGGTAGTGGTGTGTGTGTATGTGTCTGGGTTTGTAGCTTTTTAAAGTGTTTGTTGCTAGTGGTGTCTCCATCCAAAAATCGGATACCAGCTGACTTGCAAGAACTAAATGCCATTTTTTTTTCTCTACTCCCCTGTTTGTGTGCTCTCACTATCACCCCACGTCAAAGAGTGTTCAGCGGGGTGGGGGGTGGAGGACATGTCAGCACATAGCTCAGCTCCACGTGGCCACCAGTCTCCTCCCCCGTTTGAGCCGGAAGGGCTAAACAGTCAGCCTTCCTCTGCTGCTGTGGCACCCCACCCCCCCTTCCTGCTCCAATTCTACATTTTCTTTTCTGCTCTCAAAAGTCAGAAAAAAGTCCAACTTGAACAGAGTGTGCAGGATGACTGAACAGCGAGAGAGAGGGATTGAGGAAACGGGGAGTTTCTTATGGTAACCCTTGTTCATTTGACAACTTTTTGTTCCTGGAAACCCTCCCATTCTCCCTGCCATTGCCCCTCCTTCACACTCTGGCCCCTTTAACTGTTTGTTAGTTTCTGTGGGCGGGGGTTTGCACATTCCAAAGCGTTACAAGGCCAGTTGCTTTATCCTTTTTTTCCCTCTTCTGTTTAGCATATGAGAAACGGTCAAGTCGTGAGCCAGCGTACTGAGAGTCAGGCCCAGCCCTGCTCTGTCTTCCGTATAGCTCTTCTGTCTCGTGCTGGATTTCTATTGTGGGAGCTAAGTTGAGAAGGAGCTACTTGTTATCCACCCACTGTCCTGGGTTTTTTTTTTGGTGGGGGTTTAAAGTCCAGCCCTAAGCCAGCCAGATCTGTTACTCCAGCCCTCGGATGATAGAGGCCCACTGGGGTTTGTAGCACTCTGGGAGAGGAGTTGCAAGCAGGCTGAATCAGGTAAAGGTCAGCATGGTTGAGCTAATACTATTAAAAGTAGGTCAGAGTGCAAAAGTGTTACAAACGGTTTAATCCTTTTCTAGGAATGGCCTGTGTCACTGAAGTTAGCAGCATTTGGACTCCTGAATTCATTGTTACTTTGTGTGACTGAGAAAACACGTGTTTGTAACATATAAGAAGAGTGCAGTGTGTACACAGGAATGCATTCTGTTGTCACATCTGATTGTGTTTTGCCTTCATGTGAGCAGGCTTTTTCAACAACAACGGCTTAAAGCAGCAGTGGAATTTTGTTTCGCTGTTTAGCTTCAAGTTGGCTTAATTTAATTCACGCTCAGTCAGACAGCTTTTCTGGTGACTCAGAGGCTGAAGCACATTCAGTTGGGCAGCAGAGGAATTTGCATGGTGGTTAGAGTTTGGATTTTGTGTGCCTCAGTGAAGAAATGTAGCTTTCATTCAATGAGGCAAGCTAGTGAATAAGAGCTAAAGGGAGGACTGTGAAAAAAGACGAATGTAGGCACTACACCATGGGAAGCAGGTTTTTTTCCCCCTGCCTTTATTCTTCATTTGAAGTTAGTTTCAACTAAAGTGTTGTCTGTGTTATTTACCTGCTGTCCCTTACCCTCATCTTTTGTTCTTTTTACTTACACCAGTAGCTCATCTACTTTCTTTCCCCCACAGATCAGAATAAGAGACCCAAACCAAGGAGGTCGAGACATCACAGAAGAGATTATGTCAGGGGGCCGTAGTGGCTCCACCCCAACCCCACCTCAGGTGAGCCACAGAGCCACATTCTTAACTAACAGTACTCAGGAGAGCGGCCATACAAGCACACTGTTCGCTTTTTATAAAACTCATACACTTGAAAGTGACATTACCTGACAACTACTGCTTTCTGGGGTCCATATTAAAATATAGAAAAAATACTTTCTGCTTTATTTAACTTAAGATTAAATAAAACAGAAAGGACTAGAATTGACTCACATGCTCTGTCCATATGTTACTGCTTGGAAAGAATGCTGATTGCCATTTCCAATGTGATACACTACAATCTGTCAAAATTAAACTGACTGGCACTTTGACACGTGGCTTTTAAAACCAGCTGGGATTTTAGCCTGTTTTTTCTTTTCCTTTTTACCCCCCATAGTCAAATGGGAAAAAAATGTGTTAACCTCAATTGTAAGCTCACCTTTCAGTTTGTGTGTATGTCTCCCACCAGACATCTGGATCAGAAAGTACGTCATTGACCCAGGCCAACGGTGAGAGTGTCCCAGCTGCTACTACACCAGCACTGGTTAGACCAGGTGAGTGGCACATGCAGTCTTGAACACAGTCGATACATATTTTACTTACTACAAATTTTATAACTGTTATTTGTATGCATCCTGCTTAGCCGTTTGTACTTTCATAACCATTCTTTACTTTGAATAGGTCTTAAATTCACCTATAAAATGAAATGATTCCAGTTAATGTTTTCATCTTGTGATTACTTAATTGTTAAGATTGACTTCTACCAGTAAACAGCAATAACTGTTTAAAGAAGCTAGGAGAAAGGAAAGATAGAGCCTGTGCTATGTATGACATAATGTTTCTTTACTTTGACAAGATATCCAAAGTAACTGGGGACCAAACTTGATTCATGAAACAAGCCATCTATGTGGGTATAAGGCATGTTAAATCACAGCCTGTGGGCATAAGCAGTTCTTAGTTGAAACGCATTTCATTTTCACTGTTCAGTTGTTTGTACATATTTTAGTCTGTGTGAGCAGCTACATCGAGGAGCCCTGTGGTGAACAACAAGTATCTTGGTGAATCTTGAGCAGTCAGCATCGCATGTGCTGGTTTTTTTTTGTCTTTTCTTTAAAACAGAACTTTTTTTTTTTTGTAATTTTCCCACCTAAGGTTAAGTAGGGTTATCTGTATGGAAGTGCACACAACTGCTATCAAGCACCACTTTCAAAATAAGAGTGATGAGAATTTTCCTAGTAAATCCATGCTGCTTGGTGCCATTCTCTCTGCTGGATTTAAACATAGTTAAAATAAGTTGTTAACATCCCTGAGTGGCTCGCCCAAGTGTAGGAAAACAGGGAAGCTGGTTTATTTTGGGAAGGGGGTTGAATGAGGTGTAGATATATAACATAAAAACCTTTATTATCCTCACAAAGGTGACCCGTGGCTGTGGATGAATATCGGTTTATAGGTTTTCAGAAACGATGTATTCAGTGTTGATTGTAAAACCATGAATGTGGACTGTATAACTGTGTCATTTTTTTTTCTGACTTTTGACCCTCCAGATGACAGAAGGAAACCTACACCTCCACCTGTGGCAAAGACCCCTGAACTTCACAAAGGCGACTCCATCCCTACAGAGGCTAAAACCTCTGATACGAACACTAAGACCCCGTTACCTGCTCCTCTGTCAGAAGCTGAGAACACGCCTATTAACACTATTTCTGCACTTGCACCGAGCCCTCCTGTTCCAGATGTGATGGATGCGCCTCCATCTCACAAGGAACCTACACCCCCTCCCCAGTCAGCACCTGAGATACCTGCCTATCCTGCACCCCTTCCTGATCCTGTCCCCACCTCTGCTGCACTGAACAAAGTTGACAATAAAGCACCAGAGGCGAAAGAGGAGGTGGCAAAGGAAGAGGAGACTAAAGCAGAAGAGAATGTGACGTCAGTAGACACACCCCAAACTCCTCCTTCCTCCACTAATGGTGTGGCTGAGTTGGAACCTGAAAGGCTGTCGGTCACGTTACCACCAAGTCACCTAGAGGACCCTCTGGAGTCTCCAATTGCACAGCCTGAGGAGCTCCGACTACCCAACGGGCTGCCGCTCCCAGCCCCTCAAGACCCCGAAGCGCCTGCCGTCAACACAGCTGAACGTGACGACAGCCCCATAGCTGAACCAGATGTCAGTCAGCAGCCGATAATACAGACATCTGCAAACGTCGCTCAGGCAGGACTATATCTAGAAGCCATACCTCCACCTGTTAAACATTCAACCCCTGCACCCTGTGCTCAAGAAGCGGAACCACCTCAGGCTGCACCTGCCCAGCCTGAGGTTCCAGAAACTGTTCCTGCAGCCACTCTGGATGTTAAGGAAGACACTCCAGTGCCCCAGTCTAGCACCAAGGAAGAGACTTCTTCTCCTACAGAGACCGTTTCAATAGCTGACAACACCCCAGAAAAGGTGCCCACTCCTCCCCCTCCTACAGCAGAGGAGAGGGAAGACACTCCTCCTCCTCCCCCACAGACGGTCACCTCTGCTCCTGTAGAAACTACTATGCAAGGTTAGTCACTTCCCCAAGTTTGATTTATTTTAGTCATTTGTTTCTGCTTTCTACAAACTGAGAATTGAGTCATCCTTAGATTTTCTGTCAGATGCGGTATTTTTGAGCTCATCTGAGGCTGCCTGTCTTTCTTTCTCTAGCTGCTGTGTCTGTGCCAAAGAAAAAAAGAAAAATGAAGGATCTAAACAAAAAGGAGGCTGTGGGAGACCTCCTGGATGCCTTTAAGGAGGTATCTGATCGATGATGTATTTGTTCATTCATTCTCATACTTTTCTTGCCTGTTGTAACTAATCTGAAATTACTCCATACCCACTGAAGCTGAAAAAGAAACTAGTCATCAACCCTTTCCAGGGACATAAGACGAACTGCAGTTGCTGATTTCTACTGTAATGTCTTAATGAAGCTCATATTTATGAGCTTCCTAAATTCCAAACTGATTTTTCTGACTAAGCAGCAAAAGGTGGTTGCACCAGAGCCTGAGCCAGTCCCAGCACCAGAGCCCCAGCCCCCTGCCACTGCTCCTCCTGCCCAAGAGGAGGCAGACTTAACCTGGGAGGACAAGGAGGACAAGCTGGATGCTGAGAATATTCAGCCGGATCCTCTCAAGCCGACTGCCACTGACAAGAAGTATCAGTACAAAGAGGGTGGGTGTCTGAAACTTGACAGAATTTATTCATTGAGTGGTCTACCTTCCTCCTCTCATATGTTGTGAAATGTCTTTTAACAAGAAGACATCTTCTGTTTTCTGTTTGTTTCAGAACAATGGATGCCAATAAACACAGAAGAGAAGAAGAAATATGACCGTGAGTTTCTTCTGGGATTCCAGTTCATCTCAGCCAGTATGAACAAACCTGAGGGCCTACCAGCCATCAGTGATGTTGTCCTGGACAAGGTGCAAAGACTTACCCTAAAGTCTAGTCTAAGTGAAATAAGACTAAAAAAACATGTCTAGATCACATAGTAGTGGAAATTGTAATTAAGTTCCCATCCTGCTTTCTGTCTTTTCAGGCTAATAAAACACCTCTGCGACAACTCGACCCCAGTCGCCTTCCAGGAATGAACTGCGGCCCTGACTTCACACCCTCCTTTGCCAACCTTGGCAGGCCCAGCATGGGAGGAGGAAGCAGAGGACCAGTGAGTTCAATTTTTCTTTGTGTAACCGAGCACTTTCCAATTGAATTATTACTTCAATTAAATCATGTTTTGATGTTTCCCTTACAGTCTCCGGGTATGGGCATGGGGATTGGCGGACCACGTCGCTCTCAACAAATGCCGAGGAAAGAACTGAGGAAAATCATCAGCAGCATGCCACTCAGTGATGAGGTGCAGCTGAACAAAGCAGAGAAGGCGTGGAAGTCTTCAGTGAAGAAAAGCCCTCGCAGCCGTGGGGCAGAGGAGGTAGACGAGAGTGAACCAGAGCAGATCAAGACCCAGGAGCTGTTTAAACGGGTGCGCAGCATCCTCAATAAACTGACCCCCCAAAAGTTTCAGCAGCTCATGAAACAAGTAACAGAACTGACCATTGACACAGAAGAGCGGTTGAAAGGAGTCATAGACCTCACCTTTGAAAAGGCCATCTCTGAACCAGACTTCTCTGTGGCCTATGCCAACATGTGCCGCTGCCTTATGGGGGTAAGTGATGACTCACCCAATATAGATGCTTGAATATTTACAATGGAAGTGTTGTTGTTTAGATGTTTAACTTATGCAGCAGAGTAGGGGTGGGCGGTATAAGCGGTATACGGTAGAAACTCTACCGCGAGATTTGTCGATATGTCAAGTCTGACTTTTCTCCTCTAATATCAGCACTTATGTGCCAGTATTGTCTGGGTGATGACACCTAACATTCAAGAGAATACTGCAGCAGTGGCTTCCTGTGCCTTATTGAAATAAATAAAAGTGACTGTGAGACAATGTTTAAGCAGTGAGCGAAGCGACCATTGCTGTGGGTCTTGGGGGCATCCGTAGGGCACCATTTTTTTTTATTTTTTTTTTTTTTTTAAATTGAACTTCTGAAGTGAGATAACTCTACTGTATATTTTTTGTGTGTGTGTGTGTGTGTGTGTGTGTGTGTGTGTGTGTGTGTGTGCGCGTGTGCGCGTGTGCGCGCATGTATATATGTTTTTTGTTGTTTTAAATAACATTGTTCGATCTGAAATGTAGTTGTTGGCAATGCAGGAAGCCCGAACTCCACCACAAAAGTGACATCATGGTTTGTAATAGATTGACACTGGGATTGGCAGATGCAACAATGCTTTTGCAGTGGTATCAATCCTCGTACTGCTAGTTTACAAATGTCTTTGAGTCTCCAGTGATGAACTTAAATTAGTGATGGGATTGAGGGACTGAGGAGCCACTGCAACACTGAGCTTGCACCCTGTCTTCTTTTGCCATTTACTTAACTTGTGTTTTCTTTCTCTGCTTTTTTCAGCTTAGAGTCGAAATTCCAGATAAACCAGGAGCCACTGTAAATTTTCGTAAGCTGCTGCTAAATCGATGCCAGAAGGAGTTTGAGAAGGATAAGGATGATGATGAGATTTTCGAGAAGAAGCAGAAAGAGCTGGAAGCTGCATCCGTGGTATGTATGCTGCATTGTGAAGTATTATTTGCACAAAGGAAGTCATGTGTCAAGTCAATAGTTAAACATCTGAAAGGTTTCAGAGATCCATCTAACTGTACTTGTTTTGAATGCCTTTTTTTGTGTTTGTTTCCCAGGAGGAGGAGAAGCAGCGGCTCCTTGAGGAGTTAGAAGAGTTTAAGGACAAGGCCAGGAGGAGGTCTCTAGGCAATATCAAGTTCATTGGTGAGCTGTTCAAGCTGAAAATGCTCACAGAGGTCATCATGCACGACTGCATTGTCAAGCTGCTCAAAAACCATGACGAGGAGTCTCTGGAGTGCCTGTGCAGACTATTGTCCACCATTGGCAAGGACCTTGACTTTGAGAAGGCCAAGGTACAAAACACACACATGTTGGAGAAAGATGACCGAGATGCATACAAACCAAGATTCTATAATTTTGACTGATAAACACAAAATGCACTTAACCTAACTATTGTGTCCCACTTCAGCCTCGTATGGACCAATACTTCAATCAGATGGAGAAAATAATAAAGGAGAGGAAGACCACCTCCAGGATCCGTTTCATGTTGCAGGATGTGCTGGACCTTCGACGGGTAAATAACAAAGTCGCATATGGACTCAATGAGCTGTTTGCATATATAATTTGGAGCTTAAGCCTTTTCCCCAACTAAATCTCTCTGGTTGTAGAGTCGTTGTTTTAAAAAAATGCTTATTTATAACATTTTATGATTTGAGTAGACCAAAAATAAGATCTAGCTTTTTAAAGCCTGACCCACTATGCAACACTTGAGATTTTACAGGCACTTTTATTAAATCAGATAAAATGATAGAAAATGCGATTTCATATATCATATTTAAATCTGTTGGGTTCCCAATTAGGAGCTGCTGCATGTTTCAGGAAACTAACAGTTCAAAATAAACATTTTTTCCACTCAGTTGTGGGAAATCTGTAGCATGTGGTTGTGATCAGAAAGAAAACTAAAGTCATTCAAATCAGTATTGGTTTGTTTGCACTCTTATACAGAACATTTCATTAGCTTTACATGCTGTCAGACTGTCTTTGTGATGGGGAAATGAAGATTTTACACTCCACCAGACACTGACAAAAGCAGTAACTTTATCTGGGAAAACCCAGGAGGTGTTTACTTAGTGCTGCCTTCATTGCCTGCTTACTTTGTAATTGTGTGTTGTTGTTTTGTTTGGTTCTTGTTAGCATAAATTCATTAAAATGCAAAATTCACACAAATTTGGCAGCAATTTCTCTTCAGCTTTAAAGAAACCACTTTTAACATTCTGGGGGCTCACTCAATGATCACTTGTGCTGTCACACAAGGACTTTAGACATTAACTTAGGTGTGTGTGTGTGTGTGTGTGTGTGTGTGTGTGTGTGTGTGTGTGTGTGTGTGTGTGTGTGTGTGTGTGTGTGTGTGTGTGTGTGTTGAGGACTATGTTTTCACTAAGGTGATTATATTTCTGTGAATTGTGCAATCGTGTTAATGCGATGAGTTTTACGCATAACTCATCCATTATTGTTGCATATGGTCTGTGACCCTGCATGGTGCTGTCCACAGCCCAGAGACACCCACACTGGTCCTTCAGCTCTGGCCAGTGTGAGGCTCATACATGGGCTAAGAAAACAAGTCTTCTTCAGCTCATTAATGCAGGGCAGCTCCTAAACACAGAGCTACTCTGTGCCATTGGCTGAGACAACAAACAGCAGCATGTTCATTCATCCATTCATATTCTCTCAATTGAAGTAACAGGATTTGAGTGATCCTATATTATGTCATCATGTGTGCCTCATAATTTTCCTGTCACCCCTTCCCCCCCAATTTATCTCAATTACGTGCAACTTTCTGAAGCCAGTTAAGTCTGGTGGTATTGAAGCTTCTTTCTTTTGAAGGAATGTTGCAGTCCTTTAGTTAGGCTTCCAGTCCCTCCCACAACGTCCTACAAAACCTGCTGTTTTCAGTGTTTTTCAAGCTGGAATCTGCTGCTCTGTGTCAGTGTAGTGGCCCAGTTTAATTGAAGCACATACTGCATGTTTTATTTCCTTTCAAGACAAAAACAGAAACGCGACTGGAATGATTATCTCACTCTCTCTCGCTGTCTTGTTCTGTGAACACTGTAGTTATAAAGAGGACTGATTTAGAGACACTCATCAAAATGACAAGGGTACATAAGCTCTGCTTTGTGTTCATTCATGCAATGGTGACATGGACAGAAAAAGAATACATTTTCAAAGTCATCCTCGTTTTTTTGTGTGTGTGTGTGTGTGTTTGTTGTTGTTTCCCCCGATCATTCTCACAATTCTGTCTTGTACTTGTTCCAGAATAACTGGGTGCCCCGGCGAGGCGATCAGGGTCCCAAGACCATCGACCAGATCCACAAAGATGCTGAGCTGGAGGAACACAGGGAGCAGATGAAGGTGCAGCAAGCCCTCATCTCTAAGAAGGAATCCAGTGGAGGCTCAGGAGGCAGGATGGGTGGAGGCCGTCGGGGCCCTCACTCTCCAGGTCGTCGAGGCCCTCATTCTCCAGGCCGTAGGGGAACCCACTCCCCAGGGCGTGGTGCCTCTCCCCAGGATGACGGCTGGAACACAGTGCCCATCTCTAAAAACAGACCTATTGACACCTCTCGCCTTAGCAAAATCACTAAGGTAAGAGAGGGAGGGGGTTTCTTCTCACACACAATGTGAGCACATTTTGACAATCAATTGAAAATATCAGACTTCTAATGACAGCCTTTTCTTCTCAGACTCCTGTTCTTGACTTCAACAATCAGCTGCTTGCCCCAGGAGGTAAAGGCACATGGGGCAGCTGGGGTAAGGGCAGTAGCGGTGGCACAAGTGCCAAGCCTGCAGATTCTGGTAGGTTTTTTCCACAAATGTGTTTATATATCAAAGAATTATCTATTTGTGGTAATCAGAACTGAAGTTTAATTTGTATCGTGTGCCTGTTTTAATCCCCAGGCTCAGAGACGGGTAGCCGACCAGCCACCAGCACGCTCAACAGGTTCTCAGCCCTGCAGCAGCCTTTGTCCTCAGGCTCTTCAGTAGACACAGATAAGAGAATTCCTCAGAGGTGAGCAAAGGGACACAATTCTCATTACCAGCTCAAACCTTTCAGTATTCATAGTGTGAGTGTGTAGAGATGTATTTTACAATTGTACGACTTCTTTTCTGAACTCTACAGAAACAGCTTGAGTCGAGAACGAAGTGATCGCTTCGACCGCTCAGATCGTGGCAGCGACCGCTTCGAGCGACGAGACGACCGTGATCGAAACCAGCTCCAGGTCACTAAACGCAGTTTCAGTCGGGAGAAGGAGGAGCGGAGTCGGGACAGAGAGCAGCGTGGCCCTGCTGATCCAGTCCGCCGTGTGGCGAGCATGACGGATGACCGAGACAGCAGAGAACGGGCCAGAAGCAGAGAGAATGGTAGCCTGCCTGAGATAACTTGAGCATTATAATATTAAATATTTAAAACTTAAATTAAAAAATATTTCACAATACTAAATAAAGAAATCAGACAGCAGGAGACCAGACTTGAAAAAAATAGTCCTTTTCAGATACCTGGGCTCATCATCACACCATTTTAAACTTCTTTCTGCAAAAGTTAGGGGTCCATGCCCCTAGATTAACTTTTTTTTTTATGAATGAAAAAATGACATCCATGATGTAGTTAGTGTTTCTAGAGATGTTGTTTGCAGGACATGTACAGAGTACTCATAGCTCTGGGTATGAGCACAGTGGCCTTCATTTACTAATATGTGCGTGTAAACGTTCTTATTTATGACATGGGCCAATTTTGCTCTTACCGCCAGTGAAGCAGACTCGCTCTAAATTAACCAGAAAAGCATTGTTGCTTCTGCCAACCAAAAACAGTAATCACTTGCACCACTGAGGCAAAAAAGAAGGAGATAGTCAGACTGGAGAAACTTTAAAAAAGCGGTTGGGTCCAAGGAGGGAGCCAGCAAGTGTTTCCATGGGAGTGATAACAGTTTAAAAATAAAGTCTGAAATAATGATGTTTTTCAATATTGTTTCTTCTGAGAAACTCGCTATGGGTCAAGTTTTTAAAAAGTTTGTAATCAAAGTTTATTTCTTTATTTGAGACCACAAGGAAAAGAACAGGTGGAAGATGACGAACAGCACATCTGTCAGCCCAAATGAAAAAAATTGCTGCAAGGGCAGGGGGGAAAAAATCCAGATTTCCCAGCATCTGTGGGACAGTGCCAGTAAATTAAACTGCAATTAATGGTATCCAGCTTGCTTGATGTTTTTTATTATGAAATATGAGATCAGTTAAAAAAGGTCTGTTTCAGAGGACGAGATAGATGGTGATGATTTTTTTTTTTTTTTTTTTTGAAATCATACAGAGCTACTGCACTCTAAGAATAACAATCTGCATTTTAAAAGTCGCATAATGACTTCTGCAGCTCTTTTTGTCATCAGTGCACGATTCTCTGAAAGCTTCAAATAATCAGATTTTTTTGTTGTTGTTGTTAGGGGGGGAAAAATCAACTCCACCCCAAACATAAAAATGTTGGCCGGACTGCTGTGCTCCTCATTATTCAGTTGACTTCAGTTTGAAGATTTACAAGAAGATAACTGTGGAAACAATGTTTCTGTTTGTTTTTTTCCCTTCATGTAGCTTAAAATCTGATTTGCTGTTCTTTCTTTTTGTTGTTCTGTGAACAGCGAAGAGGGAGAAAGCTGCCACCCCTCCACCTCCCCAGACCCCCACCAAGCCTGCCTTGACCGAGGAGGAGTTGGAAAAGAAGTCCACAGCCATCATTGAGGAGTACCTCCATATCAACGACATGAAGGTACATACTGATGCTGCTTTTTAAACACACACACACACACAGCAAGGACACCTAAAATTAAATACAAAAAACAACAACTACCTTTTACCTTTGCTTATGTGAAATGTATTCACAAAGTGCTTTTGTGGACCAATTAAAGCACTTTATAATTAATGCTGCTCTAATAGTCTTCTTATTCACAGTGAGGGTTTCAGTGTATTTCCATCATCTAAAGTCTGCATTGTTGACACCTGAACATCTATTTATTACACTTAAAGCCATGAGAGGATAAAAGAGGAGCTTATGATTCACTGCTGTCTTTCTGTCCTTGTCTGTCCCCACAGGAGGCTCTGCAGTGCGTGCAGGAGATAAATAGCACTCAGCTGCTGTTTGTGTTTGTACGAAACGGGCTGGAGTCAACACTGGAGCGCAGCACGATCGCCAGGGAGCATATGGGCCTGCTGCTGCACCAGCTCATTAAGACCGGCATCCTACCAAAGGAGCAGTACTACAAAGGGTGAGTACAGAACCCCCAGGGAGGTGCTGGGTTAACCGGTAAAGTTTGGACCAGCAGGACTCCACATTACCAGCGGCCCGCAGGGAAACGTCAGGCTTGTGAATATTTTTCAGCATTTCATGATCTTAAAACCCCCTGCCTGGCCAAAAAGCAGTGAGTTTCCATATGTTGCTACCAGCATGGTGTGATGCTGCTTAATAATTCCATCTACTGAGTCAAGTTGGGCTTGTTCTTGTATTTCTTAACCCTTGAATAATCTTTGATGTCCGTGTACTGTGCTTCTTTTTTCAGGCTTAAGGAAATCCTGGAGGTGGCAGAAGACATGGCGATAGACATCCCCCATATCTGGCTCTACCTGGCTGAGCTAATCACTCCCATGCTTCAAGAGGGAGGCATCCCCATGGGAGAACTTCTCAGGTTTGTTATAGTACTTGCTAAGTCTCTCAACACTTCAGATGAAGAATAAATGGGATATTTCTATTTGTTGATGGTTAATTCATTGGTTGCCTGATGTATCTTCAGGGATGTCTCAAAGCCTTTGATCCCTCTGGGCAAAGCTGGAGTCCTGCTGGTTCACATCCTCACTTTACTCTGCAAAGGAATGGTAAGAGCTGATCATTATTATGTCATATTGTGTTTTTGAAAAGCTAGCATATATACATAAACTTTTGTCCCAGAAAAAAACAAGATTAAGATCTATTCATGTGTACAAACATCTCTTTCCTCCCATCAGAGCCATAAAAAGGCAGGTACAATGTGGAGGGAGGCAGGCCTGCAGTGGAAGGACTTCCTCCCTGAGGATGTAGACGTCAACAAGTTTGTGACAGAAAAGGTGAGGGTTCACTCACTGCCTTCATCATTAACAGCCTTCTGTCTGTGGTTATCCTCGATGTAATTCAACACTGCGAAGGAAAAAAGCAAGAATCTAAAGCTCAGGTCTTAACTGAGGAGTCTGATTACTAAACATCTGGACGTGACTTTGTGTTCACAGTTAAAGAAAACCTCCACAGGGTTATCATGCTTCAATTCTTTTAATCTATCTTGAACTAGTGTTACATAATTCTGTTTTTTTGAGCGTATTAAGGATGTCAGCATTGTCCATCATACAGATCCAAGTGAGAAAAAAAGTATCTTACCACTGTAATGACAGATGCTGAAGAAATGCAGAAATGTTAGGTATCATCATTGTTTATGTGATCTTAAAATACCACACATGGATCTTAAATGAGTTCCATTAATAATAGTAGTATAATAGTCTAATCCTCCAGTCCAATATGCAGTGTTACAATCCTCTCATCACATTTAATGTAATGCAGGATAAAAGGAAGAAATATTCTCATAGCATGTGATGTGACAAACGTCGTGAAAAATGACCATGATGCCCCTCTCTCTCTCTCTCTGTAGAATGTGGAGTTTACACTGGGCGATGAGTCGGAGAAGGACAAGAAGAAGGAGCTCAGCGCTGCAGATCTGACCAGACAGCTGGACAGACTGATCCAGGACAGGGCTGACAACCAGAGGATCTTTGACTGGATTGAGGTTTGTTTCAGATCCACTCATGTGGGTTCTGACTTTTAGAACCTGAAAATGTGTCATCGTTAGTTTCTCAACAAAGCAACTTTCGTAACCGCAGCACTGACAGAGCTGATTCAGACAGGTCGTCGTATTTTGGATGGTGTTTTCCAGTTTTGTGCACACGTAAATAAACGTGATCTTTTTTTTTTTTTTTTTTTTTTTTGTAGGCCAACCTGGATGAGCAGCAGACCTCCTCCAACATGTTTGTCAGAGCGCTGATGACCTGCATTTGCCAGTCAGCAATTTGTGAGTCATTCTGCACTCTTCACATTAAACACTATTAACACTAGCCTAAGTAGACTAGTAGACTTCCTGGTCCACTTCAGTTCTGATGGGCTTTAAGTCCTCTTACCATATTACTGAACTTTGGGACCTTTTACTGCTGCTACTCAGTGTGTGAAAATATCCCAGGCTAGAGGGTGTAGTCCGAGTGAAATGTGAACATTCTTGAAACTTTTCCTCCACAGGTGAGAATCCCTACAAGGTTGACAGCGAGCAGATCAAACGGAGGGCGAAGCTCCTGCAGAAATACCTGAAGGACGAACAGAAGGAACTACAGGCTCTGTATGCTCTGCAGGCCCTCATGTTGCAGATGGAGCAGCCTGCCAGTAAGTAGCTCATTCAGGCTCAGGTTGTCCTTTGTCACTGCTTTGAAATTCAGATTTCTGCTTCTCTTCATGCTACAACTTAAAAGATTAAGAAAGTGATCAGCATCATTTCCTCATTTCTCACCATTTTCCTCATTTCCTTTCTCTCCTCACTCATCAGATCTGCTGCGAATGTTCTTCGACACACTCTACGATGAAGACGTGATCAAAGAGGAGGCCTTCTACAAGTGGGAGTCCAGCAAAGACCCCGCCGAACAGCAGGGGAAGGGCGTGGCCTTGAAGTCCGTCACTGCCTTCTTCACGTGGCTCCGCGAAGCCGAGGATGAATCCGATAACAGCTAGGGGCTGCTGGGAGAATCGATGAGAGTTCTGGGCAAACCCATGGGGAGAGCGAATGTTCTGTTGATGATTCACAAGAGGCTGAATCAGCAAAATCCTTCTGCATAAACAGAAAAAAAAATAAAGAAAAAAAACTTCTTCAACTGGGAGAGATTGTATTATGGATCGAACATTCGATCCTTTTTTTTTTTCTTGTTTGTTTTCAGTTTCTTGTTTTTCTTCTGTGCAACCGAATGTCTTTTTTGAAACAAACACAGGATTAACTAAAGAGATGAATAGATTTGAGAGAAAGAGAGAGAGAATGCTGAGAAGAGTTGAAAGCTGTAGGAATGCTCTGATGCTGTTTCCTTCAGTATTTTTATTTTTTGGGTTGTTTTCAGAAAGCTTTTTGTGGCCACGGCAAAACTGCTCAAGACATTTTGCTTAAAGACAGAAAATATAACAGAAGACTTTAAAAGGCTGTTCACATCTATATTTTTGATGAATTCACCCTTTATCATGTGGACATGACAGATGTCATGCTACATGTCCGCCGTTTGGATCTACATGACGTGCTTATGTAGAGCTTTTTGTTTCCCTTTTCAAAGTGTTGGATGATTAAGGGTGGTTTGTTTCATTTTTTTTGTTTTTTTTGTTTGTTTTTTTTGTTTGTTTTTTGTAAGAAAAATTGAAAACTACAAAGAAAAGAGCCATCTAAGAGACATTTCAGTCATGAGTGAATGCAACAGTTGTGGACTTTCTGAGGACGTTGTCACTGAGGAGAGGGGCAATGAACATTGACCATTTTGCTGCTTGCAGGGGTGGCAGCGATGCTACCCTTTAAAACCCCAGCCCAACTCAATCCCACCACCCCAACCTCTAATGTGTCTGTTTCACTTGTTTCCTGCGCTTCAAAAACGAACTGTGGACCGAGAGAGGGAGAGCAAGAGCGAGGGATCATGGTTTCACCCTCGTTCAAAGCCGGTTGGTGTTTTTGTTTTTTGGTTGTTTTTTTTTTAAACTTTAAAAAGTATACAGACAAAAATCCACTTTAATGACAAAGGACTTTTAAGAAAAGTTTAACAGTACGAATCCTAAGGCCTTTCTTTGCTTCCATGAGTGGAAATGCATTTCAGGAGAGTTCTGTAAATATACGATGAATAGTTTTCTTTTAAAGAAAGTATGCTAATGTAACCCCTATTTCCCCTGCTCCTCTGAAACAATGTGGCAGTCTTTCCCCCCGTATTTATATTTTTCTCTCCTCAGCTGGCAGAAGGTGCTTGTGATATCCAACCCCAGTCATTGATTACAGTTTAATTGAATAATTGTAAATACTTTTCTGCTTTACTTTATTAAAAAAGATATTTAATTAAAGAAAATAATTGCCTCTTTTCACATCCAGAACTGGAAGAGATAATAAAGATGGTTGCAAATAAAAAGGAAAATGCAAATGCTTGTGGTTTTGTGACCGGAGGCGGCAGCAAGGCCGGTGCTGTTTTGCCACTTTGATGAAATGAAATGTAGTGGTTGATGTTTGATTTTTTTTTTTTTTTTTTTTTTTAAATAAGTATCTTTCAGGTTAAAAAATAAATCGGAGGGCTTTATTATAGACACTTATCTCCTGAGTTTGAGCTTCATTATGAGACACGAGTCATGAATCAGAAACATGAGAAAACTAAAAACTTTGGAATGAATAGGTTTTTAGCCGGGGGAGGTGGTGGCATGGCCAGGGCTGCTTTCCCGCTTTGATCCTGTGATTGGAACATTCCTCGGTGACTGCAGATTTGTTGACTGTGAGTGTGAATCACCCCAAAGGTGACTGGTGGCCTTTTGGGTGCACTGAACTTGTTATCATTGTTCAAGAAGTCAGTTTGAGGTTTGTGACATGTCATATTATCCTGCTAGAGGCAGCCATCGTTCTGCTCTTCTGCATACCTTTGTTGCATCCATCCGTCCATTTTCTTCCGCCTATTTGATTCTGGACTGCTGGAGCCTATCTCAGCTGTTATAGGGCGAGAGGCAGGGTACACCCTAGACAAGTCGGCAGTCTGCCAAAGAGCTAACACATAATAGCCCTTCACACATAACCAGTTAACCTAATCACACTAACTGCATGTCTCTGGACTGTAGGAGGAAGCCAAAGAACCCACGCAGACAGGGAGACCCTGGCCAGGTCATAGATTCAAACCCAGGCTGCTCTTGCTGTGATGCTAACCAGTGTTATTTGTTCAATCCCAGCAGATCACCAGTTTCTGAAATACTCAGACCAGCCTGTCTGGGACCAACAACTCTAGTTCAAAGTCTCTGAAATCACCTTCCTTCCTTACTCTGGTGCTTGGTTTGAATTTTAACAAGTTGTCTTTAACATGTTTACATGACTAAATACAATAAGTCATGTGATTGACTGATTAGATATTTGCATTAAGGAGCAGTTGAAGAGGTTTACTTGTTTAAAAAGTGGCTTTGGAATTCAAGTTAAACCTGATTTTTATTTTCCTATACACAAAAAACCTGAAGATTACAGGACAAATCTCACAGAGCAAACGAAAACATCTGCTTGAAGTTGGCAGTGGTGGACACAGGCCTTTCTAAAAATAAAAAATTCACAGCAGAAATATCTCTTCATTAATGTCTCCCACAGCAAATCGCATTGACTACTTCAGTTCAGACAGGTGAGCTGTTACCTGTTTTCTCGAGTGTAATGAGAGTTGATCCACTGACTGACCTTCAGTGTATGACTCCATTTCAATAATGGTTTTCAGGATGTGGCATCTCTAGTAATTAAAGTATCAAAATGAGGCAGTCATGTTACGATACATCAAAGCCATGAGAAACTGTCATTTCTGAGTGGCCCGTGTCTGACAGGCGGTCTCACTTTAGCAGACCGCCATGTAATCCATGTCTGAGAAGAGCTTTACTTTGATAGTACAGTGAAACGGCACATCAAACAAGTCATTTTTTTCTTTTTTTGTCAAGTAATGAAATTCATTGCTTTATCGTTTTTTTTCCCTCCCTATGTTTTACATTGTTTAATTATTAAGCAGCGGCTGCAGATGTGGCCTGACCCACTAACTGATGGAGCTCATATAAACCTGAAATATGACCTAGAGGTAATCATTTAACAGCTAGCCTCTAAACTCCAGGGATACCTGCTGACATGTATCAGGGGACAGATGTAACGTTACACATTGGTAACTCAGAGACAGAGTGTCACATGCAGTCTGCAGCTCAGAGAAATGCTGCTGTGGTCAGCAGGAGAAGTTATGTAACTAGAGGCCAGGACACAGGTTACAGAAACACCAAGGAGACATCTGTTCTGTCATTCCAGTGGGGGGGGAGGGTTCACACTAAACTGAAAAGAGCTGGACTTCTTGGGGATCTCCGGAAAGTAGGGCTGGCCTGGATTAATTCACCAAGAAACACTAACACATTAAGTATAGAAGCATTAGAGCGGTTTTGAATTAGAATTTGAAATAATCAGCAGGAAACTCCAGGTCTAACAAATCAAGACAAAAAGCAGGTCCTGTGGTGGCCAATAGAGGCTGAAATAAGCAGAAATAAGCATGTTTCCAACCTGGTGCAAAAACATTATTGTTGTTATTGTTTTAAAATTAGGGCCATGGTTGCTGATCAACATGGTTAACTGCTACCTGCTAATCACTGCTAATTAGAATAAAACTGAACCTCTGGACTGTTGGTGCCTTTTGGAGCATTATTGGAAATATTTGAAAAAGAATGCTGCTTTCTACTGCCTAGTCCTTTACTTCGGTGTTTATTTGTATAGCAAAAAACATTACACATTACAAAGTGCTTCACAATTTCAGTTAAAGCCACACATAAAGATATGTATACATGTTACACCTTATTCCTACATACGCACAAATAGGTGTAAACTATGGCCCCAAATAATGGGGGACAGATTAAAGGAAAGCTAAACCATGAAAAGAGTTTTCAGAAGTTGGTTGAAACAAATGACAGATTCAGACGACCTGACAGGCTGAGGAAGGATGTTTCAAAGTTCAGGCGCTACCACCTCTAAGGTGCGATCACCTCTGGTTTTAAAATCAGAGCATGGAACAATTAAAAGATCTTGATCAGATGATCTGAGCAGTGGCTCTGCAATATAGGCAATATGTTAGTAATAGGATTTTAAAGTGGACTCTGAATTTCAATGAGATCTGGTGAAAGGAAGCAGGAACAGTTGTTGTTTGTGAGCGTCAGCCTTTCTGCTGTGTTCTGCACCAATCAGAGACAGGCTATAGAGGACTGAGAGAGGACTGTGAAAAGTGAGCTACAATAAGTATGTGTCTCTGTGTTGCATTGACTTGCTTACCATGCATGTATGTAATAACATTAGTACTTTATGCTCTCATGCAAATATGTTTACTTTTAGCTCCACAAAACCAACACGGGAGTGGCCAAAATGCACAGGCCAGAAACCACTGTGTGGTGTCATGGTGGCTGTTTCCATCTTTTATATACAGTCTATGTTATTATCTCAAACTGCAGTTGCACTTAGAATAGAGGTGGGCGTACCAAAGATCTGCAGGTAGAAATATTCACATTTGTTCAAATCATATTTCTGTGAGCTAAACATCATCACTAGCTAGACATTTCTTACAGAAGCTGACCCAACATCACATGATGTGGTGTCGAGATAAGCCAAACCTATTTTATTCACTTGTCTGATGGGCATCATTAATAATAATAATAAAATTTAAAAAAAATCTTTTTATCACTGATTGCAGTTGCAGTGAAAGCACACACTGTTTGACGATTTGTGACACAAAGTCTGTAGGAGCACTTTTTATTTTTCCCTTTACTTTTACTTTTACACATAACTGTATCAGGGTTGTGTCAAAAACTGTTAGGTACTCTAAACACCCCCCCGCACTTACAGCAAGGGGAAGTTATTATTCAATATCTCACATTCAGAGAACATGTTCACTTTGGATCTGTGATTCAGGTCCAAATACACACAGATCAGATTAGTTCTTCCGGTAAAGAGGAGGAAAAACAACCCCTGTTTTGTTTGCAAGAATCTGCTCTCTGCCTTTTTCATCATGTAATCCACAAGCTGTGACTGTTCCTGTGCTATATCCTGTGGGGTGTTTTTTTTTTTTTGGGGGGGGGGGGTTGTATATCATACTGTGAGAAAGCTGCCAGTTCAGTCTGTAACACTAATATGAGCTGCAGAGTGGAGTGAAGCCTTCTTTCCCCACCTCCCACCATCAGCCTGAAATAGAACGGTATGGTTGTGCTGGACCGCTCCTAAATGCAACTCGGGCCAACAGAGTGTGTAAGCTCAGCAAACTCTGCCTGTACAAATAAAGAAGCAGTGCTGTTCCCACATTCTTCCTCCTTTTTTATATTCATTTATATTCATTTAAGTCAGTGTGGTCTCTGTTCAGCAGCGCTTCACACAATCGACCTACAGCAGCACCTTTTGTAGGCTGTAAGTCGATCTGTGTGTAACCACAGTGAGGCCTTCATTTTAAACCTGTATCATCTTATAACACGTGTTAGGAGAGCCGCCGTCTCCCTGCTGACACCACACCGCCTCACGTAGGGAGGAGGGGGTCGTACCGCCTTATCTCCAGCCTCAGCTGCGCGATCGCGCTCAGCTGGAACCGGTTTTCACATGACATTTCCACCACTGTTACACCATCATTCCTCACCATGTAATCCTTCCAAAGCATGTTTGTTCTGGGTACTGTGACTAGATAAAGTTGGACCAGAGGGAAAACCCTTAGACAGCATTACAAGGTATTTTTTCCACAGTGGGTCAGCACGTTTGAGGGTGCTGCTGACTGGATGGGACACACAGGCTTGAGTCAGTCATGTGAACCAGAGCTGTCTGCAGTTAAGACTTCCAAACACACGTCAAAGTCAGGGGAAACGTGGGCGGTGACGCTTTGTATGGAGACGAGATCTTAGTCTGACATTCACTTGAGATTTTACATCTGAGTGATGCTGTATCTTAAATCCATCTGCTGTATATTTTCCTGTTTATCTGCAAATGGATTATAAATGAAGGTTTATAGGACACACTTGTATGCACATCTGTTGAATGTTTGAAATCTTACTAAGATTTTATCTTTCTTTTTGATGGAGGCAGGTAAACCCTGAAAAATATGGTTTTGGGGATATGAAGATAAACTGTATGTGGAATCAAGAGTCTAATAAGCAGATCTAAAGTGCTGATTTTCAAATAAACACCTGCAAAAAAGTGACATTAAAGATGATGTTTTTTATGTAAAGGGATTTTGTTACTTTTTTCTGTCTGCCCTTTTAATATCTACACTGAAACACAGCATTCGAATGCACAGGGAACACATTTGGATTTTTCCATGGCCTCATCCTGCTTTGACGTTTCATTTCAGATACTTTGCCATATATAGAAATCATGAGGATGTATTTAAATTGTCTTTTGAATGTTTGGACAAGTAAATATTAAGATAAATATGCAAAAATACAAAATCACTTGGAAAAGTACATTTAAGCCATGATAATTAGAATCAGAGGTTCCAGGGACTGCTAGTTAGAACCTTGCTATTCAAATATCCACCACAGTAAAGTGTGTGGTGTCATCATACAAAGATCTAAAGAGCTCCCTTGGGCCTTTTGTTTGGTGGGGGTGGTAGGGGGTCTGGCAAGGATTTTAAATTTAAAAAAATTACTAATTGCAGTGGAATATATCACTTGATTGCACACCACCATCATCATGGAGGGCAGATTTCCAGCAGCTTTGTTCAGCACAGCCTGCCCTGACAAATTCAGCCCAAGAGCAGAAGTCTCTGTGACCCCGAAACCCAGGCCCAGATGACTCTTGCTGCTGTTGCTGTCAGAGCAGACACATCAACAATCACAACACGGTTCCACAAATTTAAAATACGTGCCAGGAAAGTTCTGCAAAACTTAAACATATGGGGAAAACCAGCCCTTTACAGATAATGCCCTTTAATCAAAGGATTAAGATCTGTGTGGCTCAGACACAAGATGGCATTTCAGGAGAGGAACCATGGGTCACAGCACTGGATACTAAAAATGGCTTGAAAACTGAGGTTGAACCTGAAGTGGACCTTGTAAAAGGATAATGATCCTAAACGCTTTCACCAGAGAACAAATCCACCAGTGATTGGCTCAAAAACAAAAAGTAGAGCGCCAAAACCAGATTTGGAATGTCATTGGAATTTATGGAAATTTGAAGTCAGAAATATCACAGCTGAAGGAATTTTGCTGTGAAAAGTGAACATCAGAGAGGCTTAATAACAACACCAAATGCCTTTCATAAATCTTGCTAAAGGGGGCCATACTAGATCCTCATGCTTTTTGTACAATATACAATATTATATCTCATACTCTTCTTGAATAAATGCTAAAATTATTTTTCTTTCACTTGTCAAAATATGTAATAAATAAATTAATTTAAATTGAACTAAATTAAAATCTCTGATTTTAATTTAAAGTCTGAAGAGCGAGTTGCATTAAACTTCAGTAATAGTCACTATTGCATACACTAGAGGGCGCCATTACACCGTGTATATTCCCCACATTCACTATATTGAGTGACCATGCCAGCTTTTGCAAATCTCTCAAACACTAAAACTGTCTCCAAGCAGCAGATAACAAACAAACACACGTTTTAAAAATATAATAGAGAGCCAAAATCACTGTTGGATCGGTGCCATCTATACATTACAAATGCATTCATTTTGTTCCACTTATTTTGTTCCTAAATATTTTTTGAGTCTAGCTTTATCCTACAAATTGCTGCCATGACCCGTTTTCCCCCCACAGGTACCATTGGAGTTTAACTCAAACACATACACAACAGTAAACTAATGAGCTGACATCATATCGTCATGAATCATAGCTCCACAGCAGATGGTGGGTGTGTGCAACAGCCTGCTGTCCTGCTCACCGCAGAGACCCACAGCAGTGAGGACACAGTGTGGTCGCATCTCTCCACCACCGTCAGTGACAACATGTCAGCGTCTTGGACTCGCTGCACAGCGCACCGCATCAACCTATTCAGCTGTGACAGTTTGCTTTTCTCACAGAGGTGCTGTCAGTTTTTGCTGTCTCGATGAAGCAGAGGTTGGCCAAGGTCACAAAACAATGTTTTAATAATGTTTTACAAAAGTTACAAATATGAATTTCAGGAGTGTAAGTGGATGATATATATATATATATATATATATATATATATATATATATATGTGTATATATTATAAGGAGATTAAAATTGGTTTGCGTTCTTGGCTTAATGCCTCATTCACACCGGTGAGACTAATCAGTGAACTTGCAGGGAACATTATGTGATTAAATTACCTGTGTGACGCATGGCACCTGTTGAATAAGATGCAAAACACGCTTTCTGCATCGGTTGCCATGTTACCTCTTGTTCTCTCAGAAGGGTGATGTGGAAATTTTGGACAAGCAATCAAATAAAACATGATTGTCGATACTTATATCCCTTCTTGCTAATGTATTCATTGGAAAATAGATGGCTGAGTGCTTCTGACTTTCAGCTCAGTCCCGGCGGACTCTGTCTTTCTCACTTACATAACTGTATTGCTCTGTTGCATTATCTCTCAGATACAGTCCATTTATGGTTAGAAATTACACACACACACACACACACACACACACACACACACACACACACACACACACACACATACACACACACACACAAACTTTCAATTGCTGATTGGTATGTTCGCATGCATTTCCTTGATCTTTGTCACAGGGTCATAAATAATGCCCGTGTATACGCTCAATTCAATGGTGTCATTAAAACTACTCTTAATGAGTCCTCTAGTCAAGGACCACAAATATTCATAGGTTCATTATTACAGTAGTTTAAGCTGCAGGTATATTTTTGTTATGTTTTTTTTTGTGTCTTATTTCTCCTCCATGCCAACCACAACACATTTCTTTTCACTCAAAGGGTCATATAAGGCTGCCACAGGTTGATTGGTGTTTATGTATTTATGACATGCTGTTAAATATGACTGACAGCAGGTTAGATTGGAAACGGGTATTATTAGAGTGGAAGAGTTGATTCAAGACTTAGAGGAGCAGACTGCCATCTCGATCGTGGCCATGGCGTCCACAAGAAGGTCGTTCCTGGCTCTCTTTCTGTTGGTGGTGCTTGGATCATCCATTGCCACAGGTAAGGAAAGAAGGAAAACGCACTCTTGTTTTAGTTTTGTTTTGGGTTTTCTTCTGCTTTGATGTTTTCTAAATCAGATATTGAGTCTGTACATGTGACATTGTGTTTGACATGAAACTCCTCTGCAGGTTAGTCCAGGACAAACAGGTTAGTTTGCTGTGTTGTGATGGATTTAAAGTAAAGAACAGTGTGTGATTGGTGATTTGATGGCCAGAGTTGGGTTACATCCAATGTAGCAAAGATAAATTTGAAGTTAGGATGATGATACTGTTTAGCATAAAGACAGCATAAACAGTGTACTGTCAGTGTAGATAATGGAAATCAGCCAGGAGAACTCATGCTCACATGCATCTGCTCACATCCGTTTGTATATTCACAAAGAGCAGCAGTGTCCCAGATCAGCTGATCACAGCCTGTACACAAAGATAAATACTGGAGCACTTAATAGAAATTACTTATGTTATTTTATTATTACATTAATATAGCACAATGTTTAGCTTTGGATAAAAATAGCTGAAGTATCTGTACTTCTACTTAAGTACTGAATGTGTGTACTTTTGCCACATCTGGCTCAAACCTTATCCTATGTCACTTTATTTACCAGTTTCTTACACTTTGCTGACCATTCAGCTCATAAGTCTTTTTGTGTCACAGGGTAGTTTGACTGATTTTCAGCTTTTACATTTAAGCAACTGCTTGCTGTATTGCAACCAGTGTGGGAACACTTCAGCTAGTGAGTATATCGGTTAATCAATATTTGCTTCAGGACTTCCTGTTCTACCCACTGGCCATTGTCTATGCATAGAGACACATTTTAAAAAGTGAATAAAAACCTCAACTCTTGACAGATAACAGCCTCTGCATGTTCTTCATCTAATGCTTCCATTGTTTTACATTTACCGAACCTCAGGGCTCACACATCAAGCCAAACACACACAGTCTTTAAATGTCATTTCAATCGTGTTCGGCATTTACACTACAAATGGCTGTTCAACTGCGTTCACCATGTACAAAATCAACAATAAGCACTATAACCTTCAACTGAAAACCTTTCAGTGCTTCAGTGATATTTCCTGAATTAACTGCTCCACTGCGTTCAGACTTTACACATCAGCTGACATGCCCACTTCATCTGCTTTCATTTAAATGTTTCAGCTGAAGTTCATTTTAATTGTAAGTGAATCAATACCTGCGTTTAATCAAAAACCAGTTCCACTGTTTCCATCTTAAGCTTGCATTTCATTTACGTTTCAAATGTACATTCATTCTGCTGCTTTCAAATGCTGATGAACCAAACAGTACACAGTGTTTTGACCTTTAACACTGTTCAAACCCTTTCAGATTTCAGCTCTTTACCTTTAAACAAAAACCTTGAAAAACCTAACCCAGAACTTCTATCTCACACAACAAGTAGACCACTTGTCCTTGTATTAGTTTTCCCATTGTCCTTTCTTTCAGTATTGATATTTGAGTGCCACTTCGACCAGAACTTCATTTTTTTTCTTCCAGTGTTACAGCTGCAGAAATTCACCCACAAGCAAAAATGCACCTCTTCATAACACAGGCTTCCCCCCCCCCCATTCCTTCACTCTGCAGCTTTTACACAAACTATTAGATTTGCAGGTCTTTTTACGATAACATCAGAGTGACCTGAAAATGTTGAGTTTGATGTATGATTCTCCGTTTTTAACCTAAGAATCAAACTTCTTCTCTATTTAAAAGCTTTAAAACTCCATCATCCACCAATTCTGAGTCCCTTTCTCTTCTCCCTTTGGGCTCTGTCTTTACCCTCTTTTCACTTTCCCTTTTTTCTTCTTAATGATGTCTCATCTTCCACCCTTCCTTTCATGGTCCCCGGTTGTTTTTTGACAGGAGCTTCCAAACTTTGCAAGTCAGCACTTTGAGTGCAGATGGAGTTCCGCAAAACTCCCCGTTATCAGCAATCACTGTGAATTAATGGACTACTGTATCAGAATAACTGTTTAACAGCATACAGAGATGTACTGCAGTAGATAAGAGAGCATTAAAGTGAGGTGTGACAGCTGTTGCTGCGAACAAACACTGCAGTAAACACACATTCAAGTCTCGAAAGAGTTTCTTTCTAACACTGCTCACAGTGATCTCTGCAGGATGCGCCGAACAAGGCTTTGATTGTGATCTGTGGAATTTTAGGCGGAAGTTTTCTCCAAGTTTAAAGTTACACCTGAAGTGAGATACTGATTTCCAGCAGGAACATGTTGCGCTATAAACACTCACAGTAGGAAAGCATCTTAGATAAAACTGTAATTATGCTACAGTTCAAAGGTTTAGAACGTTGCTAGATGGAAAACATATTTCAAGGTCAAACTAAATTAACTTGATCAGAAATTTGTAAATAACTAAGATTGTGGATCTATAATCATTATGTGTTTATTATGCTTTTTTAACTGCATCTGTACTTTGGAGCCCGTTTTTAGAGAGCCTCACTCCTGTTCTAAAGACACATTGTAATACTCAATTAAAAGGCTGATTAAACATTTTAAAAATCCATTCTGTAATTATGATAGTACATATTAAAATTATTCTGCTACTTTTATCTAGCTGAGTACCTGGAGCATTAGCATCAGTAGATTACAAGCCCAGAATGGTCTAAATTCATCAAAGTATTCTTGTTTGATGAAAAGAAGGCCATTTGAAAACCTCAACATTATGTATTAATCACTCCACGGAAGAGCACAAACTGAGTCAAACCAGGAGAAAGTTTCAGCTTGAACCTGATTGTGCTGCTTTGTTAACTGCATCACACACTGTTGTATGAAACATCAGTGTTTTGGCAGTTTCCTACAGTCAATAGGCTTTATTGCTTAATAGCCGGATGAGTCAGAGAATAAAACTCTTATTAAGAAAGGTGTTTTTAGAGTACAGGGTGGGCCATTTATATGGATACACCGTAATAACATGGGAATGGTTGGTGATATTAAAGTCCTGTTTGTGGCACATTAGTATATGTGAGGGGGCAAACTCCTCAAGATGGGTGGTGACCATGGTGGCCAATTAGAAGTCGGCCATCTTGGATGCAACTTTTGTTTTTTCAATAGGAAGAGGGCCATGTGACACATCAAACTTATTGGTAATGTCACAAGAAAAACAATGGCGTGCTTGGTTTCAACGTAACTTTATTCTTTCATGAGTTATTTACAAGTTTCTGACTACTTATAAAATGTGTTCAATGCGCTGCCCATTGTGTTGGACTGTCAATGCAACCCTCTTCTCCCACTCTTCACACACTGATAGCAACACCGCAGGGGAAATGCCAGCACAAGCATCCAGTATCTGTAGTTTCAGGTGCTGCACATCTCGTATCTTCACACCGTAGACAATTGCCTTCAGATGACCCCAAAGATAAAAGTCTAAGGGGGTCAGATCGGGAGAGCTTGGGGGCCATTCAACTGGCCCACGACGACCAATCCACTTTCCAGGAAACCGTTCATCTAGGAATGCTCGGACCTGGCACCCATAATGTGGTGGTGCACCATCTTGCTGGAAAAACTCAGGGAACGTGCCAGCTTCAGTGCATAAAGAGGGAAACACATCATCATGTAGCAATTTCAAATGTCCAGTGGCCTTGAGGTTTCCATTGATGAAGAATGGACCCACTATTGTTGTCCCCATATACCACACCAAACCATCACTTTTGTTGTTCCAACAGTCTTGGAGGGATCCATCCAATGTGGGTTAGTGTCAGACCAATAGCAGTGCTTTTGTTTGTTAACTTCACTATTCACATAAAAGTTTGCCTCATCACTGAACAAAATCTTCTGTGTCCTGTTCCGATTTTTGTTTTGCCCATTTTGCAAATTCTGTGCGCCGATCTGGGTCATCCTCGTTGAGATGCTGCAGTAGCTGGAGTTTGTAAGGGTGCCATTTGTGAGTAGCTAATATCCGCCGAGGGGATGTTCGACTAATTCCACTCTCCAATGACATGCGGTGAGCGCTACGCTGTGGGCTCTTGCTGAATGAAGCTAGGACAGCCACTGATGTTTCTTCATTAGTGACAGTTTTCTTGCATCCAGTTTCACGAAACTTAGCAAGCAGTTTGCTAACTGTAGCATGGGAGATGGGTGGTCTCGTAGGGTGTCTTGCATTGAAATCTGCTGCAATGACCCGGTTACTGCGTTCACCAGATATCAACACAATTTCGATCCACTCCTCACGTGTTAACCTCTTCAACATGTCAATGGCTGTGAACAAAGAGAAACTTGTAAATAACTCATGAAAGAATAAAGTTACGTTGAAACCAAGCACACCATTGTTTTTCTTGTGACATTACCAATAAGTTTGATGTGTCACATGGCCCTCTTCCTATTGAAAAAACAAAAGTTGTATCCAAGATGGCCGACTTTTAAATGGCCACCATGGTCACCACCCATCTTGAGGAGTTTGCCCCCTCACATATACTAATGTGCCACAAACAGGACTTTAATATCACCAACCATTCCCATGTTATTATGGTGTATCCATATAAATGGCCCATCCTGTATAATGAAACAAATATAGGCTCCAAACATTTATTCTCCAGACATAAACTGTCTTTAAGCAGCAGCTTCATCTATAGTTATCAGTTACCCTTTTAATATAATGAATGTGCACTGCTTAAAAGGCCCCTCTATGTGCCCATATATCTCCAATTTAAAGGTAATGAGCGATTACTGAGTAATTATTATGGTATGTACAATTTTGCTTTTTTCTGTTTCCTGCTGTCCGCTCCATCTCTGGTTTATTTTAGTGTATTTACTTCAGTTGTGAGAACACTTTGAATTTCCAGCTACAGTAGGAAATGCTAAGTGTTATATCATAGTTTTGTCTGAAAGCAACCAGCATCAAGATCAGATGAACTCCAATATGTAAGAGAAGCTTCAATAAAAGGTAAGCTGGTGCTTGTGTTGAGTGCATATTTTTGTTTGAACTGATGTTTTAAACACCACTCTGACTCCTGTGTTTGCCTTAAGTTGAGGAAGAGAACTCAGAGTTCTGGAGGTCACAGGCGAGGAAGACACTGCAGGCAGCACTAGACAGGAAGCTGAACACCAACGTTGCCAAGAACATCCTGTTTTTCCTTGGAGATGGTAGGTTACACAACACTGTCAATCCTTTGCACGAATATCATTAGACAGCCTCACTCGGCTGAACAGTTAAAACAAGCAGAATAAGTAAAGAGTGCTTGAATTACTTTTTTATATACATAGATCCATTGTCTGCTCTGTTTGCTCAGCCACCAATTTACAGCATAGAAAACAAATATTTTAAAGGAATACAAGAAGATGCAGGAGGGAGTTATTTGTGTTTATCAAAGCTACAGTGTGTGAACTTGTGTCTGTGGGCCTCAGGTATGGGACTCACAACCCTCACAGCAGCTCGTATTCTCAAGGGACAGCTGGAGAACCAGCCAGGGGAGGAGACAGTGATGACTATGGACACCTTCCCCAATGTGGGGCTGGCCAAGGTACACACACACACACACACACACACACACACACACACACACACACACACACACACACACACACACACACACACACACACACACACACATCGATACATAATTATGATATAAAAAGAGGAACCCATGGTACCATATAGCTGCTGCGTCAGCCACAGTACAACTATGGGTGCTCCCAAAACAAGTGTGACATGTGATGAAGTCATTTAAGTATATGCATCATCCTCTATCTTTAGATCAGTGGTTTCAAACATAAGGCCCGGGGGCCAGAATCAGCCTGACACAGACTCTGGCCCAGCTGCACAGCTTTAGAAAAATAAAGAAAGGAATTTGGGACTTTTGAGTGTATTTTCATTAGTTTTAACGCTTTATCTTTACTGACCTCGCCCATGGGCCATTTATGCTACCCCAAAGTAATTAGGTAGCAGATTAAGAAAAAGAAGAAAATTAAGAAAAGACAGAACAGAAAAGTTCCTATTTTTTCACTTCTTTCTGTGAGATATCAAAAAAAGAGTTTCTGATTTATAATTACAGAAGATTAAATGAGCTGCCAGAAGTTTTTCTGTAATTTTACTCATTGATTTCTTACAGTTTAAGCCAAAAGAGTTGGGGTGACAGATTTCTTTCATTTACTGCAGCAGCAATGTTTTATTATGTAGAAAAACTGAAATGTCCTGTTGAAATCGCACTTCTTTTTCTTATATTAAGATATCTCAATGATTAATTCTATAATTAAACTTTTTTTTACACTGACAGAAAGAGGAATTTCACTGGTCACAATGGAAATGAGTCTGGCATCCCTATTTTAGATTTTCAGTACTGAATATGAATGCAATCAGCCCTGTAGGCATACAGTTTCTGTGTGAGGGGCCTTATGTCAGACTGGTCTCATAGTAACTAATATATATTATTAAACTAATGTATTTCAGTTGGAACTTGTGTCTACAGCACGTGTTTTGGAAAGCCTTTAGCAGGTGGCTGTAACTCTTCTAACCAGAAATACAAGCCTGTAACTTGTTAGACTTAATGCCTTACCCTAAATAATAACATCAACTAATACAATATTTTATATTAAAAACATATTAAAAATAAAACAACTTAAGCAGAAAACGCTGTCACATGTATTGCTCAAACTGTGGACTTTCACGTGAGTGACAAAAGGGACTTTTCTGCCTCTTAAAAATGGAGGATATTAATTTCAGGGAGATGGATCAAAAATCAGTGACAGGAAAGGTAAGGATAGGAAAATAGTGTGTAGGGACATTAAAAACAAAAAATAGCCTTTGTTGTCAGACAAACATCTATTGTGCCATAGAAAATTAGTGCACCGTAAACTTCTTTAAAAGAAACTAGAGTAGACAATTGTATATTCTTCTGTAATTTTATATACACATACATTGGCAATAAAGGGCTATTCTATAGCAAAACAAGCCACAGTGTATGAATTTTAACTGTTAATTGTAAAGCTAGCTATGAACCATGGCTAGTCTTAGCTACAGCTAAGCCAGCTGTTTTCTGTCTGTAACTGGAAAAATATCCTTGTTAAAGGACCATTTGTTTCTAATTTAAGATGATCACTGTTCACTAAAGCCTCATCAGAAATGCTCTCAGTGGAAGGGTGGAAGAAACCATTCTTGGGGAAGGGAAATGGGAAAAAATAGTTAAGCTATGCCAAATTATACAGGGAGTGCAGAATTATTAGGCAAGTTGTATTTTTGAGGAATAACTTTATTATTGAACAACAACCATGTTCTCAATGAACCCAAAAAACTCATTAATATCAAAGCTGAATGTTTTTGGAAGTAGTTTTTAGTTTTAGCTATTTTAGGGGGATATCTGTGTGTGCAGGTGACTATTACTGTGCATAATTATTAGGCAACTTAACAAAAAACAAATATATACCCATTTCAATTATTTATTTTTACCAGTGAAACCAATATAACATCTCCACATTCACAAATATACATTTCTGACATTCAAAAACAAAACAAAAACAAATCAGCGACCAATATAGCCACCTTTCTTTGCAAGGACACTCAAAAGCCTGCCATCCATGGATTCTGTCAGTGTTTTGATCTGTTCACCATCAACATTGCGTGCAGCAGCAACCACAGCCTCCCAGACACTGTTCAGAGAGGTGTACTGTTTTCCCTCCTTGTAAATCTCACATTTGATGATGGACCACAGGTTCTCAATGGGGTTCAGATCAGGTGAACAAGGAGGCCATGTCATTAGTTTTTCTTCTTTTATACCCTTTCTTGCCAGCCACGCTGTGGAGTACTTGGACGCGTGTGATGGAGCATTGTCCTGCATGAAAATCATGTTTTTCTTGAAGGATGCAGACTTCTTCCTGTACCACTGCTTGAAGAAGGTGTCTTCCAGAAACTGGCAGTAGGACTGGGAGTTGAGCTTGACTCCATCCTCAACCCGAAAAGGCCCCACAAGCTCATCTTTGATGATACCAGCCCAAACCAGTACTCCACCTCCACCTTACTGGCGTCTGAGTCGGACTGGAGCTCTCTGCCCTTTACTAATCCAGCCACGGGCCCATCCATCTGGCCCATCAAGACTCACTCTCATTTCATCAGTCCTTAAAACCTTAGAAAAACCAGTCTTGAGATATTTCTTGGCCCAGTCTTGATGTTTCAGCTTGTGTGTCTTGTTCAGTGGTGGTCGTCTTTCAGCCTTTCTTGCCTTGGCCATGTCTCTGAGTATTGCACACCTTGTGCTTTTGGGCACTCCAGTGATGTTGCAGCTCTGAAATATGGCCAAACTGGTGGCAAGTGGCATCTTGGCAGCTGCACACTTGACTTTTCTCAGTTCATGGGCAGTTATTTTGCGCCTTGGTTTTTCCACACGCTTCTTGCGACCCTGTTGACTATTTTGAATGAAACGCTTGATTGTTCGATGATCACGCTTCAGAAGCTTTGCAATTTTGAGACTGCTGCATCCCTCTGCAAGATATCTCACTATTTTTGACTTTTCTGAGCCTGTCAAGTCCTTCTTTTGACCCATTTTGCCAAAGGAAAGGACGTTGCCTAATAATTATGCACACCTGATATAGGGTGTTGATGTCATTAGACCACACCCCTTCTCATTACAGAGATGCACATGACCTAATATGCTTAATTGGTAGTAGGCTTTCGATCCTATACAGCTTGGAGTAAGACAACATGCATGAAGAGGATGATGTGGACAAAATACTCATTTGCCTAATAATTCTGCACTCCCTGTACAAGACCTGGACTGAAAATCAGTGGTAACAGATATGGAGTCCAAATTTGAAACTTTTAATTTAAATTATCTTCAGTATCTACGGTGGTGTATTTTAACAAGGTTAGGAGAGGGTATAACAGCGACTACAGCCATGTGTAAAACACAATGGAGGTTCTTTTATGTTACGGGGCTGGATTTCAACCAGTGGTGTTGGGAGTGTTGTCAAAATTTATCGAATTATTTGCACAAAAGAGTACCATCAGATTGTGATTTACCATAGAATACCATACAATAAAGATTGATTGGTAATGGCTTTACTTTTGAGCATGATAACAATCCCAAACGCATTATCAATGCAGTAAAAACATACCTGGATAGACAAACACACACAGAGCCCAGAACTCAACATTACAGAAGCAGAGTGGGACAATTGGTAGAAAAAGGAACATAAGCTTGCCCGAGACAGTTCAGGCTGTGTGGAAGAATAAAGGTGGTCATATTAAAAATTGAATTTCAATTTCATCAGTTTTTTTAAAACCATCCATCCATCCATTCGCTTCCGCTTATCCTTTTCAGGGTCGCGGGGGGCGCTGGAGCCTATCCCAGCTGTCATAGGGCGAGAGGCGGGGTACACCCTGGACAGGTCGCCAGTCTGTCGCAGGGCCAACACACAGGGACAGACAACCATTCGCACTCACATTCACTCGCACATTCACACAATGGCAATTTGGATTTTCCAATTAACCTATCCCCTCAAGCTGCATGTCTTTGGACGGTGGGGGGAAGCCGGAGTACCCGGAGGGAACCCACGCAAACACGGGGAGAACATGCAAACTCCACACAGAAAGACCCCGGCCTGATGTTGGAATTGAACTCAGGACCTTCTTGCTGTGAGGCAACAGTGCTAACCACCGTGCCACCGTGCTGCTGCTTGCCTTATTTTAAATGTTTGCACATGTTTTAATAAATATAAAGATGTGAAAAATGGCTCAAGCACAGTAGCACTGAAAACTGAATTTCAAATACTTCAGTGGGGTGCAATGAAACCATGGCTCACAAAAGGAAGAGTTCTACGTGCCTACAGAAGAGGGAAAATTACTTTGAAGCCTTTCATTTTTTAAATATCTCCAGATGCCCAATTACTCTGGCACCACCACACAACCCTAGGAGTAAAGGGAGCTTGATGAGACAATACTGAAAATATTTAAATGGTAAATGTGTCTTTGTGTATGTGTGTGTACTGTGCAGACCTACAGTGTGGACTTCCAGGTTGCAGACAGCGCAGCCACAGCCACAGCCTATCTGTGTGGGGTGAAAACCAACCTGAACATCGTTGGAGTGAATGCGGCGGGTCGCAACGGAGTATGCAGAACTCAGAAGGGCAACGAGGTGACGTCCATCTTGAAGTGGGCCAAAGATGCTGGTGAGCCACTGAAGACAAGAAATGTCATTAACTGAATCTTTAAAAAGAATTTTTTCATCTGTAGACTAAAACTCCAAGCAGTAGTAGTGGAGTATTAGTACATCCTTTAATGCCCAAATGTATAAAGATTGTAGCACAAAACCTGAGGGAAAAATGGGCAAATTTAAAATTCACCTATTTATTCTGACCATGTCAACAAACGTGCTAATATTTTGGACTTCTTGCCTTCATCAGAGCATGCGGAACAATAGTCACGTGTATGCAGCAGTTTGGATGCTAACTGGGTCAAAGAGTCAAAAGACGACAGAACTATACTACTTTGTTTTTAATCATTATCATACCAAAAAGCTTACTTTACTGCAGTTAGTTGAATGTGTCAAATGAAAAAAAAGAAACATAAGATGGCTAGCTATTCTGAATGTTTGAAACATAATTGGGGGGGAAAAAAGTTTTATGCTGTGCTCCGTGAAGCTTATTTGAATTGGAAAAACTGTTGAGCCAGTCAGAGCTTTGTAAGTGAAATTAAAAAAAGGTTACGCCATATTTTTTATGCCAGAGGCGGAAAAATGGAAACAGAAACATTTGCATAAAAATGACAAAATGTGGGTGATGAGAACCGCAAAGCAGAGCATAAAAACATTTAAATTAGCATTTTTATTCAATTGACATGCTTCAGAAAACACTGCTGCAGCTTTTTTGTTGACGGGAAATTCAGTGGCATTTAGTGGCAGATGATTGTAAATGTAAGAAAATACCTTTAAATGAGAATTTAACTGATGTTTAAAAACAAGATGCCACAAGATTAAAGCGAAAAAGCCCATAACATTTCACCATAATGCTTACGTGATGTATAATAATGAGCAAATGATTTATAAAACAGACTAATGGTAATGGTGATATTCAGCAGATGGCAATAGGCTCATGTGAACAAGTGCAACTCATTGCTGCACAGATGACACTCAGAGGATAAGAATTTAAAAGATGCCGTGATTGAAGCAACAAATGGGATTGTGTGACTCTTGTACAAAGAGCAGGCAGATACCTGACATGGCCCTGCGTGTCACATTTAGGTTCTAGCTTCTGTCAAAAGAAAATCCCCCAGGTCTTACACGGCCTCAACAAAACCTGATTTTACAGCTGAGCGCTCTGCTGTGAGCTGCAGTGCCCTGTCAGAGTGGTATTACAGGGGCCACCGGGGAGCAGGGAGCAACAGCAGCTCGCAGCCTCAGGTTCCACCACAGCATAATCTACTACACGGGAAAGCACCTTGACTGTTATCGTGTTCCAGTGTTATCAGCATCCATAAATATCTCATGACACGCACACAGGCAGAGTGTCATGGCCATGACCCCAGCGCTATGCCAAAGACCGATGCTCAGGTGCGAATGTTGCAGAGAACCAGTTTTTTGAAGACGCTTCTATTTAATGTTGTAAAAAACATTTTGGAAACGGTCGTGTCCTTCCACGCAGTTTCTAGCAGCAAGGTTCACCTGGAGCCCGGCACCTCTTGAGATACAGTGGGGCAAAAAAGTATTTAGTCAGCCACCGATTGTGCAAGTTCCCCCACTTAAAATGATGACAGAGGTCAGTAATTTGCACCAGAGGTACACTTCAACTGTGAGAGACAGAATGTGAAAAAAAAAATCCATGAATTCACATGGTAGGATTTGTAAAGAATTTATTCGTAAATTAGGGTGGAAAATAAGTATTTGGTCACCTCAAACAAGGAAAATCTCTGGCTCTCACAGACCTGTAACGTCTTCTGTAAGAAGCTTTTCTGTCCCCACTCGTTACCTGTATGAATGGCACCTGTTTGAACTCATCATCTGTATAAAAGACACCTGTCCACAGCCTCAAACAGTCAGACTCCAAACTCCGCCATGGCCAAGACCAAAGAGCTTTCGAAGGACACCAGGAAAAGTATTGTAGACCTGCACCAGACTGGGAAGAGTGAATCTACAATAGGCAAGCAGCTTGGTGTGAAAAAATCAACTGTGGGAGCAATCATCAGAAAATGGAAGACATACAAGACCACTGATAATCTCCCTCGATCTGGGGCTCCACGCAAGATCTCATCCCGTGGGGTCAAAATGATCATGAGAACGGTGAGCAAAGATCCCAGAACCACACGGGGGGACCTGGTGAATGACCTGCAGAGAGCTGGGACCAAAGTAACAAAGGTCACCATCAGTAACACACTACAACGGCAGGGAATCAAATCCCGCAGTGCCAGACGTGTTCCGCTGCTGAAGCCAGTGCATGTCCAGGCCCGTCTGAAGTTTGCCAGAGAGCACATGGATGATACAGCAGAGGATTGGGAGAATGTCATGTGGTCAGATGAAACCAAAGTAGAACTTTTTGGTATAAACTCAACTCGTCGTGTTTGGAGGAAGAAGAATACTGAGTTGCATCCCAAGAACACCATACCTACTGTGAAGCATGGGGGTGGAAACATCATGCTATGGGGCTGTTTTTCTGCCAAGGGGACAGGACGACTGATCCGTGTTAAGGACAGAATGAATGGGGCCATGTATCGTGAGATTTTGAGCCAAAACCTCCTTTTGAGAACTTTGAAGATGAAATGAGGCTGGGTCTTCCAACATGACAATGATCCAAAACACACCGCCCGGGCAACAAAGGAGTAGCTCCCTAAGAAGCATTTGAAAGTCCTGGAGTGGCCTAGCCAGTCTCCAGACCTCAACCTCATAGAAAATCTGTGGCGGGAGTTGAAAGTCCGTGTTGCTCGGCGACAGCCCCAAAACATCACTGCTCTCGAGAAGATCTGCATGGAGGAATGGGCCAAAATACCAGCTACTGTGTGTGCAAACCTGGTAAAGACCTATAGTAAACGTTTGACCTCTGTTATTGCCAACAAAGGTTATGTTACAAAGTATTGAGTTGTATTTTTGTTATTGACCAAATACTTATTTTCCACCCTGATTTACCAATAAATTCTTTACAAATCCTACCATGTGGATTCATGGATTTTTTTTTCACATTCTGTCTCTCACAGTTGAAGTGTACCTCTGGTGCAAATTACTGACCTCTGTCATCATTTTAGGTGGGGGAACTTGCACAATCGGTGGCTGACTAAATACTTTTTTGCCCCACTGTAACTCTGAGGCATCACAGGAGGCTTTTTCTTCACTGATATCTTTGCTTTTTTCTCTTAAGTAATAACCCTGCACAATTAAAATTACATATTAGCTGGAGTTTTATTTTATTCATTCATCAAGTCTAGAAAACTATGTCAAAATTCCCCTCTAAACCCCATGGTGAAGTGTCAAAGTGAGGCTCAGTGCTCACATTTGACAGCCTGCAAGCATATTTCTTTCATTTTTGAAAAATTGCTCTAACAATTAGCTGTCCTAATTGTTTGGATTAATTGCCTGTGGATTGGCTAATTGTTTAATCAACCATTTGCTGCCGCCTACAGTGCGCATTACAGACTGTTATGTCTTTAATGACTTTTGAGTTTCAGGACACTTTTTCCAAGTGAGCATAAAGAACTTTGATCCCTCTGATACATGACAGAGATTTGTAATCTCACATCACCACTTCATGAAGCCATGAGTATCTGTGTCTGATAATTTGCCGTCACATCACTCATCTTGCAGCTATCACACTGAGACTGAGATCTTAAACTTTGAATGTCTGTCAGATGAAGGATAATTAAGTACTAAAAGGACAATAAGTACTGTATCTACTAGACTTCACACCAAGATAACTTTTGCATTCAGAGTTGAGAAAGTTTTTGACTAACGACTAATGACTTTTCTTCCTGCTCATAGAGCATGGAGCAGAGTGCTTTTTGTTAACCTGTGTTAAGCAGGAAGCTACTGTGTTTACGTTGCAGGCAAGTCTGTGGGCATCGTAACAACCACGAGGGTGCAACACGCCACCCCAGCAGGCAGCTACGCCCACAGTGCCAGCAGGACGTGGTACAGTGATGCCGATATGCCTGATTCTGCTAAGACGGACGGCTGCACGGATATCTCATTCCAGCTCATCAACAACACAGACATTGATGTACGCTTCTGTTTTTAACAGTATATATTGAACTTTTCAACGGCTGAATTTGATTTAAATGTTCGTGTGTGTGTGCGTGTGTGTGTGTGTGTGTGTGTGTGTGCATGTGTTTTCAGGTGATCATTGGCGGCGGTAGAAAGTACATGACCCCTACTGGTACCAAGGACCCTGAATACCCCACAGACTACTTTTCAAACGGTGAAAGAAAGGATGGGCGTGACCTGATCAAAGAGTGGCAGAACTTAAAAACTGGGAAGGTAAAACACCTCTGCTCATAATAACAGGTAGAAGTAAGAAGTATGATGTGGTGTGAAATCAGAAGACCTAAAAACCTGTACATATACAGTCATATTAAAAAGATAGGACACCCTCTTTCAATTTACAGTTTTATGTGTCAGGACATAATATAAATCTTAAAAGCAGATAAATACAACATCTGTTAATCAATAACACATGACATATTATACTGTGTGATTATTGATTGCATAACAACTGAACCCAAGTGCAGAATACTTTGGTATACAGAGGATTTCACTATTAACTCCATGACTGCAAGGTACCCAGGTCTCACTGCTACACAAATCCAAATCATGACCCCTCTACCACCATGCTTGACAGTTGGTGTGAGGTGATGATATGCTGCTTTTGGTTTTATCCAAATGCGGTGCTGCGAAAAATCTCCACTTTGGTCCCATCTGACCAACAGACATTGTTCCAGAAGTCTTGTTTGTACAGATGCAGCTTTACAAACCTGAGCTGGGCTGCTATGTTGTTTTTAGAAAGAAGAGGTTTTCTCCTGGCAAACTTGTTTTGTCATGAACTTTACTATTTTTGGCGAGGGTGTGCTTAGTTTGTCACACACTGTTTTTGGCCTTTTGACTTAAATTTCTGTTGCATAAATAATGAAACGGTACAATATGTCAAGCTTTCATTAAAATTTGTATTTATTATAAGACCTGCTGAGGACTGGATGATTTTTATTTTGACCTGATATGTTTAAAGAGGGTCCAGTTGTGTGACTGATCTTATCAGTGTCTGCATCTGACTGTAATGGAGACCGTTAACATTATAAGGTATCAGGGAGTTTTTGTTTAAACTTTATTCGCCAAAAGATACCAGAGGTGAATGTATTACAAAATGAATATTCTGCTATTTTCCCATAAGAAACGTGATTACTTGCATCATATAAGAACAGAAACCTGGTGCAGGTTTCATAGTTAGAACAGTTAAGTGTCCTTTACTTTGCACACGAAGCGGCTTCCTTCTGTTTGCCGGTGAGTCATGCAGTGACTAATAACAAGTACAACCACTTTTGGTATTCTGCTTCCACTCTCCATGGTTATATGTATTCCTGTGTGTTACAGGTTGCCCACTATGTGTGGAATAAAGCAGATTTTGACGCTGTGGACCCTGAAACCACTGACTACCTCATGGGTATGTTTTTTTCTCTTTTTCCCCTTCCTTTGCTCCCTCGCGCATTCCCCTGTTGCTTCACATGTAACTAGAAACGTGGTTTCTATTAAATGGAGCGGTGGTGGAGTCAGGCATCAACATGGTTGTGTGTCACTGTTAGATTTGTATTGTTGATTGTCATTTATGCTTAGAAATATTTACTTATATATGCTTAGAGTTTTGTAATTAGTTGTAGATTGGTAGAGGTTTTGATCCTTGATAGTCTGCAAACTTTGTGTGTATTACACAGCACTTTGGGAGCATGAGAGGTCGTACCGTGTCTTATTGTTTTATGGTAGGATTAACGTAGTTGCGTCTGTTTTAGTCTAAGTGCTCTTTGTTTAGATGAACTGCTGGACTTCCTCACGGTGTTATCTATCTAGGGTGAGGGGGAGGCTACCCTCTTCCTGACCAAGGATGTTTGACCCTTTGATCAGCAGTCCACACACACACACACACACACACACACACACACACACACACACACACACACACACACACACACACACACACACACACACACAGGCAAGTGTGTGTAGACGTCATATGTTAATGAACTTATGCATATTCATGTAACCTCAATAGGGTCAGACGAGAGAGCGGTGTCTGTCCGGTTTTCTCCCGTGCACGAGTAACATGAAGAACTTTGCCTACTTGTGTCTTGCTTTGCAGTGTAATTATATTGCCTTCAACGTTCCAGCGGATGGGTTCAAGCTACAAACCTATCAGTCACTTATTTTTTGAGTTTGGACGTTTGTTTTTATTTGCGGTTTATGTATCCAAATTATTTGTTTAGGGTCTTTAAAAGGTCTATAATAAAGTAATACCTTAACCTTAGGAGCTTTTCTTTCTGTGTTCCGACTTCATAATTTAGTGACTCAGTTAACTAAGTGTACATAATATTAACCCTCTGGAGTCAACAGTCGCCAGTGCGTCCAAATCACATGATGGATTTAAGAAAACTCTGACTGACTGTTTCAACTTGGGCCAACTGTGCTCTGCTTTTCTCTCTTGGATTTCCTACTCTTTTCTCAATCAACACTGTTTTTGTTTTGTTTTTTTCATTTTGTTCCATTTGAAAAAAGGATTTTAAAAAATGATTCTCAAATCCAAATATTACTTTACCAAAAAGTCCAGCAAGAACATCCAGGCGACACTGAAAAAACAGCTCAACACTGGGACAACTTTCATTTTTTAACTATTTTTCAGCAAATATTAGACAGTGAGAAAAAATGGTAGACTCTGATTCAGCTGAAATGTTTGCAGGGTTTTAGCTCTGTTTCAGAAAATGCTCCAATATATTTTTTCAGTACCAGGTGCTGTCAGTAAACCTTTGGTATTTGAGGGTGTGTAGGAAGTGTAGGGATCCAGTCATTGTGCTTTTTGTGGACTGAGGGCTTGCTTGCTGCTATATTTTGTGTTTTCTCCTGCTGTGTGGTTAATCAGTTCCTGTGTGCTGAAAATAGTGGTAATAGTAGTAGGAGGAAAATAGGACTTTCCTTGCCACTACACCCCCACTGATCACTGATAAATATAGCGCAGTTTTCCTTTCTCCTCCCCAGCTCTGTTCGAACCTGGTGATCTCCGCTACGAGGAGGAGAGGGACCCGAGCACGGATCCGTCCATCATCGAGACCACAGAAAAGGCCATCCGCATCCTACAGAAAAACCCTAAAGGCTTCTTCCTGTTAGTGGAGGGTGAGGACAGCAGCTTCATCTGTTTTCTACACATTCGCATCACTCGATCCAACAAACACTGGATAAAAAATTCCTGTGAGAGGACTAAAAATAGAAGGATCAGTTAAATTGCATAATAATCATACCCAACCAGCCCAAGTGACAGTTATATATAAATAACTAAGTAATTGTTGTTTGCTGAAATATTAATATGCGTACAACATAGGAGCTTGGTTGGGATAAATTGATCTTTGTGCCATAGTGACAACATTGGCTCAGAGCACGGTGTGTACCTGCTGTTGACACTGATTCTGCATACAGCTCAATGAGTTTGCCGCAGTGTGTGCTGATGGTGTGTTTCCGTTCCACGCGGCTGCCTCTCTGGCCTCCTTGTCTATCTCTCTTTTAATCTGAGGCAGCTGCCTGGGGACTCCACGGTGCCACTGAGTGTCTTCACAATGACTTTAAAAATAAGAGGCAAATATATAAATAGAAGTGGACATATGGTGCGCCCAATCACTGACAGCTCGCTGAGATCACAACTTATTAGCCGGGTCTACTTTACTTTCCAATATAGCCGGTGGAGAGGACAGGAGCGGGAGATGTGCTAATGCAGAAAAAAAATCACCCACTCTCTCTTTAGAAAAGGTTCAACTCTGAAATGTACCTGCTGCCAGGGGGAAAATATACAGACTGTATAACTCATTCAAATAATAGTTAACTGTTTCCTTGCAAGGTGTTTGGATGTTTATTAGGACTAAATATAACCTTTCAAAGTTTATTTTAAGTCTTCTGGGCAAGTGCAGCTCAAGTCGTTTGATGCTGATGAGACTTTAATCCAGTGATTTGTGGATTTTGCAAACTGTTCTTGGGAATCAGTGAAACTGTAATCTCCTAATGTCCAGGGTTTCTGCCTTTGCACAACGCACATGTAAAATTTGTGTGAATATTGAGAGCTTAAAAAATAATTTTCAGATTCACCTGTTCATAATGCAGCTATTCACACTGACCGCTGGACAAATTTAGGCATTAGTTTTTTCTGATATTTTGGATCGGAATAAACAGATCTGACCAATCTTTTGGCACACACATAGATCATCATTGCTTTATTTTGACTTTGTTTGTTTCCCAGTGCATTTTTGGAAAATACATTTTTTGAAAAAAATGCTTTCGTTGTGTGTATACATCACATATACATTAAATAAAAGTACTACATGAACTGTTTAGGAATTATGGCCACTTTATGTAGGAGATATTTTTAAAATTATGCTGGTTTTTCCAATTATTTTTCTGCTCCTAAAACCAAGACCAGAAGGCAGTACATCACTCTCCGTTATGTTTAACCCCTTCCTTCCTTGTGTTTACAGGTGGGCGTATTGACCAGGCTCACCATGCTGGGCGGGCCTCCATGGCCCTGCATGAGGCGGTTGCTTTTGACCGTGCTATCGCTAAGGGCCTCGAACTCACCGAAGAGCATGAAACTCTCACTGTAGTGATGGCTGACCACTCTCAGCCTCTTACCTTCAATGGCTTCCCCTTTCGTGGGAACAGCATTCTGGGTAATTATTAACAGAACTGCAATTCATTCATCTAAAAAAAAAAAATCCTGCTGAAAAAAATGCTTAAAAAGAATTTAGGATTTTCTTTAATCGTCAGTGTATCAGTAAGTTAAGCTTTCTCCACAATTCTTTCTGTTTTCCCCCTCAAACCTTTACTCTGTGCCTCCATTCCCCCCTCCAGGTGTGTTTAACCACTCTGACAATAGACACCTGCGGCAGCATTTGTGCCTGTTGTGTGTGTGTGTGTGTGCTCGATGCCTCTTAGTGCCTGTATCCTCACAGCTTCAGTGTGCTTCTGCCACCAGCAGCTTGACATTTCATCTGCTGTCTCTCCCTGCAATTACAGCCAGGGTAAACACACATTACTGGCAGCCTTTCTCCTGCTTGCCTTTCTATTTCAGTCCCCTGCTTTCTCCCTCTTCTGTCTTCCATTTACCATCTACAACACTGATGACACCGTCTCTTCTACCTTTTTTCCTTCTAAGTTCTCAATCACTTTCACCAGTTAATCTCCCTTTAAAGGGCTTTCCTATTGATCTTATGTGCTCCTTACCTCTTCAACTCTCTCTCCTCTTGCTCACTTTTCTGTTTTATTTAAGGTTTTAGACCTGAAAGATGTCCTTTTTTTCATAAAATACAGTTTGACTTACCACAGAATAATTTTTTTTTTTACAGATGTATATAATAAAGATGAAGAGTAGCTGAGTCCCTTTTAGGTGCATCACTCAAGTGGTAACTATTAAACTGTGTATCTACTCAGTAGATATTTTTTCCAAAAATGTATCAGCTCCAGAAACAAAACATGTGGAAATCATAACCCCTCCACCTGCTGTGTTTGGTTTTCTCCAAATGTGGTGCTGTGCATGTTAGTCAGACATCTCCACTTTGATCTCACCTGTCCAAAGGAGATTGTTCCAGATCTTTAGTTTGTTCAGACACAACTTTACAAAGCTCAGCTGCTGCCATTTTCTTTTTATTAAAAAGAGGTTTTCTGCTGGTAATTCTTCCAATCAGACATACTTATGAAGTCTTTTTCTGGTTGTACTGTCATCAACTTTGAATACTAAGGTCTGAAGAGGTGAGATGTAGTTCTTGAGCTTTCTTCTTATTTTATTTTATTTTTTTTTTATTTCTGTGAGGATTGCTGTCTGAACTCAGGATGAATTTCCTGGGAAAATGGACAACTATCTTGAATGTTTTCCACTTGTGAATAATCTTTCTCACTGTAGAAGATGGACTTCTGTCATGGTGTGCTGTGTGCAGGCAGGAGAACAGGACCCAAACGCTGGACTCACAGTGAACTAAAAGAGGCAGCTTTATTCCACTGTGGCAGAAACTCCAAATATAAACTCACAAAAACAGACCTAAACTGAAAACACAAAGCTAATAACAAACACTAGGAAAACCTAAAGACAAGAGACTGGGAGCACAAAAGAAAAACACACAGCAAGTTGAGGACGCGACGCGACACTGAACACTGGAGGACACACATACTATGAATACACATGAGGGAACGAGGAACAGGTGGGAACACAGCCGGGAGAAATTAGAGCTAACGAGACAGAGGAAACGAAACTAGAACACTGACATAAGACATAAACCTTCAAAATAAAACAGGAAATCCACAGACTCAACTCAAAGACAACTCAGACAAAGAACGGAGGGAACACAGAGTACAGGGACCAGAGTGACATGAGAAGCAGAGGAATACACAAGCTAAGAAACACAGAACAGAAACACCAGGACTCATAAACCATGAACCAAAAATCAAAACAGACTAATAAACAACAATACAAAATCAAGACACTGGGCCACTGACCCAGGACCGCAACGACTTCAAATAGTTTAGAAATGATTTTGTAACCCAGATTGATGAGCAGAAATGATCTCTCAAAGATCATTGCTGATGTCTATCCTCCATGACGTTGTGGTAACGCACACCTGAATGCTTCAGACCAGCAAATTTCCCAAACTGCTTTCATTTAGGTCGACTGAGGAATGAAATATGCAGCCTGTTGTACTGAAATTGCACACAAAGATTGTGATAAATTTGAGGTCTAGAATCATCCCAACATTGGTGTTGTGTCTACTGTAACTAGTATGCAAGCTGGAGCAAAAGCAAGCTGGAGCAAAACTTCTTGGACGGTCTCACATAAGTCAATATGTAGTAAGATGATCCCAAAAGGTACTGATGGCAACACAACACTGAGGAATGGAGTTCAGTGACTCCTCTTTATGAAAGTGAAGTCCAGCAGACAGTGATAAGTTAGGGCAGCCTGTGCCAGACGTCTGTCAGTCAAAACAGCTACGCCTCTGACTGCAGTATTCAGATGGATGAGCTCTGCAAAAACCCACTCTCACTACAATCTGTAATTGGGAAAGGGAAAACCTATCCAGAGGAAAACTGTCCAGAGAGTTGCCAAGAGTAGACAGAGAGTTTCACTGTTCTAACAAAAAAAATGTTTCATCTTCAAGGAGCTGCCGCTGTTTGGGACTTTGTTTCTCAGGCTTGGAGGCTGCTCCTCCTTCTCTCCAGTTGTCACCAGTCATATTATCACTGTACTGTATCACTATCAGTCTTCAGAGTCTGTATTGATTGATCTGTGGTCGTGTCATGCTTTTCACACCTTTGCGCTCCCTCTTTCCTTTTCCTTTTCTACCCTCTTCCTCCTCCTCCCAGCGGTGCAGCAGTGCAGCAGTGATTAATGTGACTCTGAAACTCTGAGCTCTTCATCAGCGGGGAGACTCGCCAGGCTAATGGCTCATCTGGAGAGAAACGCTGAGATCGTCAACAAGCTCTAGACCTCCCGCAGCACCCTTGGGATCAAGCAATCCCTCCTCGCACTTGTGTTTGTGTGCGCATGATGTGTGTTTTTGTTTGTTTAGCACTCCGAGGCAGAAAGAAACAGCAGAAAGAAATAGAAAGATAAATCAAAAATAATGTTTGTGTCTTCCAGGTAAATCTCCACTGTGGGCAAGTGACATGTTGCCTTATACCACGCTCATGTACGGCAATGGACCTGGGCACAAAATCGTTAATGGCGCACGCCCTGACATCCGCAATGTTGACACCAGTAAGACCCAGTCATTACTTCGTTGTTTCACAGAATTCACTATGTTAGATCTACTACCATGCACCAGTCAGGTGCTGATATCATTCATCAAACCAGTTTTAAGTGTAAATGGGGTCTAATGTTCTTTGAAAGGACTAATCATTTGTACTCTATCCTTATCTTCTCCAGAATCTAAAGACTACATCCAGCAGGCAGCTGTCCCCGTAGATACAACAACCCACAGTGGAGAGGATGTGGCAGTGCTGGCCCGTGGACCCATGGCCCACCTCTTCCAGGGTGTCAACGAGCAGAACTATATTGCCCATGCCATGGGCTACGCTGCCTGCGTGGGTGCTGACCTAAGGCACTGTGAGGGGCAAACTACACCACCTTTGGTTCACATAACCCTTGAATATAACAAGAACGGGGCCAGAGCAGTTAGTGCCTCAGCAGCTTTGCTCGGTAACTTCCTGAGCGTGCTGTTGGCCATCACAGTCCTCATGTAAGATCATTTTCTTTGCTGATCTGATCTGCAGTCAGAGGTCAGCATCATAAAACAGTGCGAATGGGTTCAGTGATTTGCTCAAGGACACTTCAACACGGATGTGCACTAGTGTGGTTTCTTGCACCAGGGTTATCTTGCAGCCTGCAAAGGGTTGTGATCGGACAGAGTGAATCAAGTCACAGAAATCATTAACTGACATGAGGACTGTCACTCCCGCAGTGACTGTAAAGAATTATTATGAAATGTAAGCTCATCAAGCGTCTGCACTGGCAGTCTGTTGAATCCCTGGGCTATACCAATAAAGCAGTCCTTTCCTAGACAGTTGGCTGAGAGTTTATTGATATAAATTATTTAAACATACCAATGATCTCATTTGTTGACATTTTTGGCTTTATCAGAATGACAAATCTTCATTATCTGACCTTGTTTCCACAGTAAAACAAAGAAAAACAATCCCTCTGCCACATTTACATACACACGAGTGAAAGCTTTAAGAACAAAGTGAACAAAGCTGATATTTTTTGCATTATATTTCACATTTTTAAACGTGCTACGGATCATAACAGGCAGCATAATTAAAGAAACAAGTCTACATTTTGGAAAAATGTGCTAAATGGCATCCTTGATAAAGGAGTCAGATGAATTTGTGTAGAGGCTAAAACAAAACAAACAAACAACAAAAACAAACACATTACTGAAACTAGCCTTGCTATCAGCCTTAGTGCTAAGCTAATGAAATCTTCTGCTGACTTTAGCTTCTCTCATCTAATTCTTGGCTGAAAGAGGAAACACGTATATCTATTAAAAATATGAAACTGTTCCTTTCACCTAAGTTCATATTTGTGACAAATGATCCATAGATGTATTTACTGAAACCTCGAAATAAAATGGTTATTTTGCACTTTGCAAGCACTTTCTGTGAAATAAAAAATGGACCGTGATGTTACTCATTGTTGAGTGAGCTTCTGTCTAACTAACATGAATTTGGGTTTGATGAGCGACAGTGGAGTGGACAGGTGGAGCTATCTAAGAAATCTAGGAACGCTGCATGCTCATATAGTAGCAATTTGCCAGTAGTGATTCTCTTTTTAGCTCTTTCGGCTCCGAACCGGCTCTTCAGGTTGTTTTGTTGCTTTAATGAATTTATTATTAACAATAATATAAAATTATGCACAAAATGAATTACTAATGTAAAAGAAAGTGGTTTTATTTATCTATGTTTATATATAAATATATACAGTGGCCCCTAGAGACAAAACACATACAAACTCCAAAAAGCATGTACAAACTCCAAAGCACATTTCTAGCGTTAACTGAACTTCCAAAACAGAGCTACTTAAATTACACACCAAATCTGGTCATTGGTACTTCCTGGCTTGTGTAGCCACTAGGTAACAAAAGCTCAACACTGCGCCTAGCATCCTGGAGCACTTCTGTTGTGTTTTGTACGTGCTTCTGAGTTCATACGTGTTTTGGAGTTTGTAGGGGCTTTGTCTCTAGGGACCACCGTAAATATACTTTTATTTATTCACTCCACATAAAATGTAAAAAATAAATCATATAATACAAAAAACAACTATTTACATTTCAACTATTAACTATTTAAATTTTCAGCTTTTTCATTTTAAACAAATTTAAAGTGAAACAACACAAAACACTGCAAACCACAACACAATTAAATATAAATTAAAATATGAAAACAAAAAGAACATGCATATTCTCTGTCATATGGTCCTGCATGAATAAACTTTCTGAATCCTTTATCATCTGCAACTGAAAATAGTTGTGGATGATTACTATACCTTTCTAATGTGTGTCTCCCCTCTTCCCAATGCAAAGCACAAGGCTCGCGTGCGGAGTGAAGCGGGAAAAAAGTGCGAGAGAGAGGGTGAGAGAAATAAAAATAAACCCCACGGCTCTCGTGGTTCACTTCAAAGATTCGGCTCTAAGAGCCGTTTTGTGACCGACACATTTGCCAGTAACAAAGTAGGTCTGCCCTTAAACACACTGTGCTTTATCCTCCTTTTTGACTCAAACTGGGGCCATAAAATTGCATCATACTGTGTTTAACAAGACTTGAAAATAGAAATTGAGATCATAATCCACCTCTTAAGTATTTACTTACCTCATAGAAAAAAAAAAGTAAGGGTATTTTGTCACATTACTAGAATCCAACTCCTGCTTTTAGCTGTTGGTTGTTAAATAGAATGCAGGTTTAAGGTACTTTCACATTGGCTTCACTTTTCAGATCAGGAAGCTACATCAATCTTGGAACTGGTGGAACTGGTGAGGAAAATGTGTCCATTTGTTGAACCTCATATTTAAGAGGAACATTGCGTTTTCCTGAACATGGAAGAGTGATCCAGCTCTTTTTCCTGATGAATGTATTTGAGGGTGCGTGGGATTGTGCGCAACCAGTTTATATGTGTTTTGAGTTGGACAAAGCATTCGACAGTCTATCACGGTATCCCGTGAGGAGTTTGTGATTATGGGGTATTCTCCCTGTTATTATGGGCTATCTGGTCACTGTACGTTAGTGCGAGCTGTTATGAATAGGAAGGCTCCTGAATGCCTTGGGTGTTTCAGACATGTCCAGTTAGAAGGAGCAGACCTAGGAGATAATGTTTCTGGTCTGTTCCTGTTTCTGGCTTTGAACAGCTCAGTATCCCCAATGAATAGCTTTTATTTGCTAACTTCATACAAGTCCTGTTTACTGCACTTTTGAAAAACACATTGTTTGATGAAAACACATCAAACTATTTTCATAATGCTTCTCAAGCATCTTGGAGAACTGCATCAGTGTCATCTGTCTTTTCATCTAGTCCCACACCGGCTCTGTGATATTGTGATCCGGTGTTCTGAGAAACCATCCTACTCTGACAAAACGTCCTACCCGTATTATAATTTGACGGTGACTTGCGATTAAACCTAACCCTACACCTAACCATAACCATAACCTTAAGAAGTATTCCGGATGGGTGAGAGAAAAAGTAGTTAATTTGGCCTTGGTGTTGTGCGCATGTGCAGAAACATTGGGTAGGATGTTTTTCCAGGTAGGATGGATTCCCAGAACACCGGGCTTTGTTGTTAAGTGTTTTAAGGTTTCTTGTCCTTCCTGTGGGTGGAGATAGTTTTTTGTATTGCTTGGCTGCTGTAGAGTCACAAAATTATTTGAAGACCACAAAGATGTCTATCTTGGTGGTACTGGATATGAATTTAAACATAAGATAATTACTTAGCGCTGTATATTCTTATATGTCTTCATATTTACCCATTAAGTCACCAAAGAATCCTGTTACTGTATAGGCCTATTATTCCAGTTCATAACTAATTTTATAACCAGTTAGGAGACAAGTCTGAAAATGCCTCCTTCTTCCTTTGATCCTCTCTAACATCCGCAGTGCTAATTGAGGTTTGAGGTGGGTTGGTTTGATGACATTACTACAGCGGTCCATTAATATTGCAAAATATGTAAAGATCACCTATTTTTATCCTTGGGAGACAGATTGCAGTAATTATTTTGGACATCTGTTGGGGTTAGGAGTTTGTGAAACCTGATTTTGACTCTCCCTGTACTCATTTAGACTGGCCTGAGGCCATCATCATTGTTTTAGATGACGGGCCTGCTCTCATCTTTTCCACACGTTCATTAAAGTCATTTGCAGATCATATGGTGGAGAGAAGCTCAACAGCTTGAGAGGCGATGCAAGACGAAGCGTTTTGTCTTTTGTCTGGAAGTGAGGTTTATTAATGAGTAGAAAGGACATGGCAAACAGGGACAATATCTCCTTTTGCAACATACATTCTCTGATATCATATGTAATGATTAATGTGTGCCAATACTCTATATAAACATTAGATGTGATGAAAATTTAGACTTATTTAATGGTTTGGCTCTGATTTGTACCCATTATTCCTTCTGCACACATACACTCACCATTGATTTTGTTAGGTACACCTAACAAATACATTTAGGGGGGTTTGTGGGTTAATTGGTGATTCTAAATTGCCCATAGATGTGAATGTTGTCTCTATGTTTTAGCCCTGTGACAGGCTGGCAGCTTGTCCAGGGTGTACCCTGGCTCTCATCTATGGTAGCAGGGATAGGCTCCAGCAAAAAATTGATTTAAGTGACTCTGAACGTGCTGTGGTTGACCTAAAAACACGAAAGCATGGATCCATTGTGCCTTATAACAAAGGTTCATGCTGTTTCTGATATTTTTGGCTGCAAAGCAGCATGAAGCTACACAGCATCAAACCTAAAATTATAGTTTGGTACCTAATTTAAACTGGTTCTGGTGACCTGTCCAAGATGTACCCTGCTGGTCATCCTGTGACCGCTGGAACAGGCTCCAGCACCAGCACTTTCTGCTGTTCTTTATCCCACTTTCATAGCAGGAAAACCAAGAAAACTTCATCCAGCATTGATATTCAACTGACATATGAGTGTGTCCCTATCTTCAGCATGTACTCACATTGAGATTTGCAGTTTATATCTTAAGAATAAACCCATGTACACAAACATACACAACACAAAACAAACATATAAAGTCTAAGGACAAGGGGCAGACAGAATTTCTTTATGGACAGAATTTCTAGGCGTGACAGATGGATTGGTGTTGCGGGTGCAGTTATGTGGACGCTGCACCGGTCTGCTGTGGTGAAGAGAGAGCTGAGTGCAAAAAAAAAGCTCTCGATTTACCGGTCAGTCTACATCCCTACCCTCACCCATGGTCACGAGCTGACACGGTTGCCTCCTGGGCACCTCCTGGGTGAGATGTTCCGGGTATGTCCCACCAGGAGGAGGCCCCAGGGCAGACCCAGGACAAGTTGGAGAGATAATATCTCTCGGCTGGCCTGGGAAAGCCTTGGTGTTCCCCCAGACAAGCTGGAGGAGGTGGCTGGGGGTCTGGGCTTATCTGCTTAGGCTGCTGCCCCCATGACCTGGATAAGCAAAAGAAGATGGATGGATGGATGGATGGACAGGCAGAGAAACATATA